AGGAGTAGGCAAGAGGAGCCATGTTCAGAAGAACCGTTCATGATTTTCACTCAATGTTCCATTCATGTTCAAAACACTGCATGTTCAGAAGAAATCATTAAAACTGTTAACTGTTAACATTTGAGGACTTTTTAAAAAAAAACTTTATTGTGGAATCCCTTACGCGGCCCACCCTCACCCAGACTCTGCCTCCAGCGGCCCCCGGGTAAATTGAGTTTGAGACCCCTGGTCTAAAATGTAAGAATTAAATTACGGTATGTTATAAACCATTTGTTTTGACTTTAAACTTTATATATACATAATTATTTACATTAAATAACCATTTACATTATACATATATACATAGATAGATAGATAGATAGATAGATAGATAGATAGACAGATAGACAGATAGATAGATAGATAGATAGATAGATAGATAGATAGATAGATAGCACTAAAACTACACTAACTAAAACCTAAATCATATTGAAATCTGATTTTGATTTAAATATGATTTACTTTATAACAACATTTCAGTAATTCAGCTTGGGGTTTTTACACTCCATTTGTGGGACAACACTGCCCCCCTCTGTTTGAAATGGTAAATTACATGCTGCCTTCAAATCAGCTAAGTCATATTTTGCTTGATCGTGACGCTGTCTTAGGCACCACATACTGTACACACACTGATAATTGTCAGACATCAGGAACACGTTTGCAGGACGTGACGCACGAAACACGACGGCCGGCGGTGGTTACCTGCCCTGACATTAAAACTGTTTACCTGGATTCTTTTTATTTTATTTACATTTTCTTTGGTTATTTCAATAACCGTATGCAAGAGTGTGCAACTGTTTTGTACACCACTTGGACAGCAGTGAACACTGCACCGCCCTATCGGATGGGGTGCAGCAGGTCATGTGACTGACGTTGCGTTCACATGACTGGTTATGTCTAATACTTGATGTGAATCCACTCAGTACCCACTCACTGACGCTAGAGCATTTTCTCAGGGAAACTCTGTGGTGAGTTTTTACAGGTCGTCGTATATCTGTTTACAGCGTGTAAACAATGTCTGCTTAGTTCATTTCAAGCGTTTTATACCATCTGCTCTCTGTTGTTGATGTTGTCGCTGTAGGGTTGGCATGTTTGTGTGATGGACTACGTTGTGTGGCAAATGCACACCAGTGCAGTGATAGCGATCGCAACTGATCCGAGCGGAGCTGCGCGTGTATGTGTAGTTTTACGGTAGAGAAACAAGGAAACGAGCCCTACTCGGAGAAGCTTAAAACGTGTGTGATTATTGTTGGGGTCAATATGGTGTCAGTACAGAGCATTACGAAAGAGGCTTTGGTGGGATCCATCACCCTGGGTGTTGTCTTTGTCACCGGGTATGTTTTAGGTAAGAGTGACAGTGTTTGAGACTGCATCCTTTCTATGCTGGCTACTACAGCGGTAACCTGAGATCAGTGTGTGTGTGTGTGTGTGGAGGGGGGGACACAATGGACAGAGCCGTCTTTGGACTCTGTACACAGCCTTAGTACAATGGTGTTGTCCACTGGAATCAATGACTGTAGTGTAATGAATGACTGGTGTTTTCTGAATGAAAATCCATTGCAGTTGTTATACGTGAGCAGGAATTAACAGAATAATTAATTAAATTTTTTTTTCTTAATTGATTTTATATGAAACATGACTTATGGCCTTTTCAATTGTATTCTGCAAAAAAAATCCACCAAATCTCTCAAGCCTCCATATTTGATTCTGTTAATACAGTTATATTTCTGTGTTAAACGTTCACTGTACTGTGAGTAGATCTCATAGTACAGTGAACCTGCAAGTAGTAGTATAAGTAGTATACTACTAGTATAACACATTTACACACTTTCAATGGACACAACGAAGAAAATGCCAAATATGAATGTAGTTAAAAATCCCAATATTTCATCATTAGCTAGTCAACAGGTCCTCTGCTATCACAGATCTAAAAGTATTGCATGGCATGTAACAGACGTTTAATGTAAGCAGAAATGCTGTACAAAGGTGACAAAGTAACCGCCCATGATTGCATAATGAATTACATAAGTTTTTATAACTTTACTGATGGAAGAAAACTTCTATCAACTTAACTTAACTAAATATTTTATGCATCTTTACAAGATTCTCCATTAATCCAGATAACCCAGATAATACCTAACAAGACACGAATCATTCTCCAACAGTCCTTAATTTGTAAATGATTAGTAAGTATCATCTGACTTACCTGTTGGTCATGTGCATACATGGACAATGTTAGATTATCAGCTAACAAAGAGTTATCGCCTACATCACTATTTTTGTGACATAATGAAAGTTAGAAAACATTAAAAAAACTGACATTAGATGTGCGTTCAAAATCTAATTTTAGTCTGATCTGTCTGTCTACGATGAGTCACCATTCCTCTGTCAAGATGTCAAACCATATATGTATAACATCATATGTATCTGCTGCAGCTGTAATTACATTTACCGGTAAAAATCATAACTCCAATCCAATTTCAGTTAAGTTGCCAGACTCGCGACAAGAATACAGACCAGACTTCAGTAGTCTAGTCGAGCAGACCTCATTACATGACCTCACTGGGCTTTTGAGAAACGTCTCAAGTGTTTACCGTCCACAGGGAGACGGAAAATGTCCAGAATGATCTCCAAAAGTCACTGCGGGGGCAGAGCTGACCCTCTGATGCAGTACGTCCTCCAGCACTCCCTCAGGGAGCATCCAGTGCTAAAGAAGCTCAGGCTGGTAAGACGTGCTGGAATCTGGATTATTTCTAATGTCAAATGATGTGACCAAGTGTCACTGATAACATCAGTGACTAAACCGAGTTACTGACCATTCCAGAAAACGATGGAAGATTCCATGAACGGCATGATGGTTGCATGTGAGCAGTCACAGTTCATGGCCAATCTGGTCAAACTCATCCACGCCAAGAAGGCACTGGAGATCGGTAAGAACAGTCAATGTGGAATTCATGTTATCTAAATAGGAGCACTGTTATGGTGTTTGAGTAGTGCCATGTAATAATTAGCAGGTTTAGCCTTAACCAGGTAATTATTATACGCCATTACTTTAACACTTAGCCTCGTCTTTTTTCCTATTTATTAACTAGCTTTAGTAAATATCATAGTTAAATAATTAATACATTTGGGCAAAATATTCTAAATTACGATATCGTCTCTTGACACTTTTTTCCAGGTGTATACACAGGTTACAACACACTGAACATGGCTTTGGCGTTGCCCGATGATGGAGTTGTGGTGGCTTGCGATATCAGCGAAGAATACACCAACATTGGAAAACCCTTCTGGCAGGAGGTGAAAGTCAACTTCTGTATTCAATGATCTGTCGGGATGATAAAAATCTGTAAGCGCTATAATGACAAGCTGACCTCAGTAAAGGTCGGTCTGCATTAATCATAATTATTGTGACTAATCCTCAGCTAGCCTGTGATCAATTAATGACACTGTACAGTGTCATTAATTGATGGGCATAGTGGGCAGCTAAACTGGAGCCAATCCCAGCTGAAAACAGACTAATTTAAATCAATTTTTCACTAACAGGCTGGAGTGGAGAAGAAAATCGATCTTCGTCTGCAGCCAGCACTTCAAACCCTAGGTACAGTCACATGTTGCTTCTCTGAACCCTGTCTTTCCTTAACTTAATGTCAAATACTGACAGTGCAAAGAGTGTTGTTTGCTAACTGTCAGCGGAAAAGTGTTTGTTTTCTTTTAAACATAGCTTCGGGAAAACGAGTCACACAACAAAACGTTTTTGTTTTCAGCTTTACATTCCTGGCCTTAGCAGGGAATTAAATTGTAAAAAAAAAAAAGTTTGCTCTGGTGGTTCAACACGTACTGTAGGAGCAGCCTGTTAAATAGGGACCAGCACTAGAAAATGCCCGACCGCCTCTTGTGACAGTATTCCTTCAAAATAGTCAAAAACATATAGTTTATTTTATTTTTTAATCTTATTCTTAGAGGCAAAATATAAAAAAAATAAATAACGGAAAAAAAACATTTCTACTGTTTCCTTTCAGATGAGCTCATTGAAGATGGCCAGGCTGGGACGTTCGACTTTGCCTTCATTGACGCAGATAAAGTTAACTACGATGGCTACTTTGAAAAGTCTCTGCAGCTGCTGAGGAAAGGGGGAGTCATTGCAGTGGACAATGTAAGAGACATCTGGCACAGACAGAAGCAGTTTTATTTTCCCAAAATAATAAAAAAAAATGTATTCAAATTCTTTTCTGAAGGTGCTGTGGGGCGGGAAGGTCCTAAACCCTGATGACGAAGACACCGTGGCAATCGACAAACTGAACAAGAAGTTGTTGAGAGACATCCGCGTCACTCTCAGCATGCTCACGATCGGAGACGGACTAACACTCGCCACCAAACTATAGAAAGCTGATGGTATAGTTTATATTTACCGTATTTTCCTGACCATAAGTCACTCCGGAGTAGTCCCACCAGCCAAGAAATGCATAATGAAGAAGAAAAAAAACTATAAGCTGCTGCTGCTAAGTCGCACAAGTGCCCTCTAGCAGCTGTCATGGTTATACAAACGTACATTTTCAGTGGTACGGGAGTCGCAGATACTGGTACACAAGCCTAGAGTGCCCTCTAGCGGCTGCTAGTGTGAAAATAACTAACATGTAAATTTTCAGTGGTACAGGAGTAGCAGATACTGGTACAAAAGCCTAGCGGGAACAGCGCAGGAGTGGACATTATTGTAAAGAAAAAAGATGCAGAGGGTTTAGGAGGCATCATAGGCCGTTAAATAATCACCAAACACAAGAGCACAAATTTTATAGAAACACACTACAACAGCGGACAGACGGGGGAGATGCTGAGCCAATCAGCGTGAAGAACACAAGAGCATGCTTAATGCTGTGATCGATCTACTCTAGGTAAACAAAGCTACCAGCAATGTCTTTTAGTTGATTTTTTTTATTATTTTATATTTTTATTGTTTAAATTTTTTTAGGTTAGAAAAAAAAATTTTAATCACAAAAATAATGAAAATATTAAAAAATAATAATTACTGTAAAATACCGCAAGATTGGAATTGAAAAAATCTGCCATGTACTGAGGGAGTGAAAGTAGAACCGTGAGAGGGACCACTATAAGTCGCACCTGAGTATGAATCGCAAACCCAGCCAAAGAATGAAAAAAAGTGTGACTTAGAGTCCGGAAAATACGGTAATTGTGGTGCAACACTCTGCTACAGGTGGATGTGGGTTTTTTTTATGAAGTTCTTTTAAATTCACTTTAGTGTAGCAAAAGAATAAAAATAAAAACTCAAATATTATGATTGTGTTGTTTGACAACGTCCTCTTTTTAAATGCCGAGTTGAAACAGAACAGGCTGAAGGGTTGATTTCAGGACTTTATTGCAAAGGATACGTACCGACAGACAGACTGCCTCAGAGTCACGTCAGATATCCTCTCTCTTGTCAGATTGATAAAATAAATTAGTTTACACATTCTTGCAACTCTTAAAAGTTAGGTTTTTAAGGTAGTGAAGGTTTGGAACCCATCACATGGCTCAGCTAAGACTCTCTAAGAAGACAAGTGAAAATAAGTCAGTCTAGAACCGTGTAGTTCGTTTACCGACTCAAAAGTGATCATCAAAATACAGCGTGCAAACAACACAAGAGCAGAAGATGAGAATTATTAAACAAAGGTAATCTACTGTGCAAAGCCAAACTTTGATGTACATTCTACAGTGGGACACTTTTTTTTCTTAAACCACTCCTGGATTGTCAGAGTTTCAATTTACAGAGAAAACAACAACAAAGGGAAGAAACATTGAATTAACTCAATAGTCAATTATGATTATTACTTATATGAACAACGAAAAGAGGCAAAGACAGATTCCGTATTCCACCCGTCTTCTGAACTCAGCTCGCCTCTGCTTTGGCTTCAATTTTTTCCTTCTATCTATTTATGTCACCACCCAGAAAATCTCATCCTCAAGTGTCCTCATGCCTCCAACTCCAGACCCAGACCAAGTTTGTGACCACCAGTGTTTATATTCTTCCCATCCACAAGAGCAGAAAGGAGGAGCTTTATACCTGATGATAAAATTTGTTTTAAAACTCAAATGAATCCATCGTAGATGCACCCATATTTTCAACCCAAAATTCTAAAAAGAATTTCTTACCAGGTCGTATAGTCTGTGCGTAACCAATGCCTACGAGACTGGCATTATTCACCTTGGCCTGAAGAAGAGAGGGAGGGTGGTATTATAAGCAAGATTCTTGTCACAAGTGACAAACATTCATAGAAAAAAAGCACAAGATTAACATTAAATTAAAGTGTTGACGTCCAATCACTCAGCAAATTAAGTACTGCAGCAAATGTAAAGGTTCTTTCGAGACAGGGAGGGAGGGGGAGGTTTAACAGAGGTTAATAAAACAGCACTGGCTGACTCAAATTAAAAAGCACTTACTGATATGGAGGCACTAGGGTCCAGCTGGTACTTGGCAGCAACACCGAAGCGAGTGCCGTTGCTGCCTGCTGTCCAAGCAAGATTCACTGCAGTTTCCAGTTGGTCGTTTACCTTCTGATAAATGGACCCAGCAAACTCTCGGCCATCATTCCTGCAAAAAGCAGGAAAAAGAAAAACACTGAATGCCAGTGATGCAGAACTAGTGCGCTGCAGCTCAAAGTGTGGGACACACTCAACTGGAGGGGAAAGGAAATGTGACAGGTGGATGCAATAAACGGGAGGACAGGTGTAAGTAATTATGTCACTGAACTGTGATTATCAACTGGCTTCTTTCACTTTCATGAATATAAACCCAGTTCAACTAAGTTTGTTGGACAGTGGAATTAAAACATTTCACCAACACTAGTAAAAATAAAGCATACACGTTAGTGTGGAGTTGGAAGTCCTCCGTCTTGTAGCCCACTGCAAAGTTACTCTGCGTCAATTTGGATTTGGCTGTGTCAATAGTCATCTGGTAGCCAGCCAGCCAGCCCTCATAGCCACCGACTGCTGCTGCATGAATAGTAGGACCAGCAAAATCCAAATCAGCATCAATACCAACGTTGAGGTTCTCTCGTTTGTAGGCGCTCTTTATTTTGCCACTTTTCTTGCTGTACAAGAACAAAAAACACAAAGAAAACATCAGTATGAAATAAAAACATTACTTGGGGATTTCAGAAAATTTCTTAAGAATTTATTTTCCAAAGCCTACCCAGAGTTGGGTGAAAAGGTGGTGTCAAACGAGAGTTTCAACCCCTTTGTTATCTAAAGAAACAACATTTTTGTTGATTTAGTTTGATAATCAACATCTGATCAGCACTGTGACAGGCTTCTGTTTACCTGATCCTCCACACAGATTTCTGTTCCAAGTGTGTTTTCTGTGGTCCACTTCTCTGTGAACGTCAGCCCGTATTCAGACCACTTGTACTTGGTTTCCAGGGATCCTACGACCTTGCTAGTGTCCACACTCGATGAGCCAGAAGTCTTGAATTCCTGAGGTCAAGACCAAAGAAAATAAAGGTCTAACTGGTTCATCTGAGCTCACTAAAACAAACTTATTTACAGATCTTAGTTTGTAATCCAAATTGGGATGTTAAGTGACTTATAAATACCAACAAACTACTATTAAATACTGGATGTACAGTATGCGTATGTGACACTCACGACTCCATTTGAAGACTTTGTTTTCACATCAAGCTTGACCAGTCCAAAGCCTGAGAGAAACAGAAAGCAGTCAGAGCATACAGTTCATTGCTGACGTTTCTCATATCCCCTGAAGGTCATTAGATCACTTCTCTTTTATGTCTACTGGGTTTTTGTTTTTTGTTTTTTTTGTTTTTTTTTTGTTGCTTTGCTTCCTCTCACCATATCCTTTATTAAAGATGTCCTTTGCTGATTTCCCAAGGTCTGCATATGCTGGAGGAACTGCCATCACGCCTGTCAAAATAAAAACAAAGGCCAGGAATATTATTGATTATGCAGATCATGGACTGAATAAACTACCATAACTATAGATGTAAACAAAAAGAAATGATTGATGAACATTAGCTGTGAGCAATGTGGTAAAAATATTTTTTTTTTGTAAAAAAAAAGAAAAAGAAAAGAGGAACACAGATATTGAACTAGCATCATGGGTAATTTTCTAGACTAATTTTATAAATTAATTTAATTAAGTTTCCCCTTGTTTGAGTGGAATATTCAGGGGATTCGTTTAAGAAATCTTGCTACAGGTTGGAGCTTTCTGTGGGTGCAGTTCTCAACCTTGCAACTTTACATTTCAGTTAAAATATTGTTAAAATTGTGCGTTTGTCGGTTGTACGTCCGTTTAAAACGTTTTCCTTTACAGTACATACCTGCACCTGCACTAAGCTCCTACTGTCACGACTTCTCAAGGTTAACTTGAAGGCCTGAAGTCGATATACTTTGTAGCAGACTATGTGTATAGAAACAGTATTAGTCTATTATATTTTATAATGTATGTATATACTGTATATAAAAATAACTTATTATAATTAACATATTTGTATTTCTTAAATTTGGACCTTCAAGGACATACGATTATTTTACGTATATATCAATGCATACATTAGACCGCGGTAATTAGAAAGTAACTTTCTACATTAGAAAGTATTACTGAATTTATACAGCGTTTGTCGGGGGCGTTTACCAGGATGTTAGCATCGGCTAGTTAAACTGTTGACATTGCAACACACAACACAAAAAAATGTAAAAAGTAGTTTTTAGTTACTTAGGTGTTACTCACTAGTATCAGTGTTGTTATTAACTTCTCAAAAAAGAATGTCGATAAAAGAAGCAGCACAACTGATTCCGTAGGACGATGTGGAGGAGACGCCGCATACGAACACCCCTGACCTCAAGCCGGTAGGACCCAAACCATAGCTTTTCACTTTACGCCTGTTCAAAATAATAGCAACGTCATCAATTTGTTATTGTGTTATTTTGTCAATACTTTTTCTTTTACGAATGAAGCCATTCAAGCAGAAATTTAATTATGTAGTTATTTTAAATTTTGTATTTGTGCCAATATCCCAGAAAGGCAGTTGGAAGGACAGCTAAATGACTATCAACAAATAGGAAAGCGTCTTGGGATTTAAATGTTAGGAAGTGCCCTTCAATGCAGTTGTCTTTATATACATAATAGTACCTAACAGCCACTTTTAGTTAGCAAGTTAGCAATTTTTTTTTTCACAAGCTACGCACGTGTCCCCTCTCCACCTTTACTATGGTCACATCGAATCATCTATGGTGGTACTGTGGAATTATGACTTTTAACAACCAGAACATCCACCTATGACTTACACGGGAAATGTCCCCTGATGCTAATGATTGGCTAAGGTTCCTTTATTATACATAAGGCAATGATAATATGAAAGGGAATGAAAAAAATAGGAAAATACCAGTTTTTATTTTTGTTTTAGCACTTTAATTATTGAACGAGACAATAAACAAGTCATGTGGCTTTGCAGTAGAATGTGCACACATAAAATCAGTCTTGCACAGCAAAGGTCAGTTTTATTTAGAACATTCATGTCCTTTACACCCCTCCAGTTCCAAGGACAATAACAACATCATCTCCTACTGCAGAGGCAAATCAATGAAATGTAGAGACCCACCTAAAATGAGCGTCTCACTTAAATAGCACAATGTGTCTCAAACAAATACATACTTAAGAACAACTGTAAACAATTCTGCTTGTGCATGTTGCTGCAACTGGTTATGTAATATAAAAATACTTATCAACATTTACAAAATGAATAAATTAATAGAAACAAACATCTTCAAATGATGATGATGATCCTTTTAAGAACCTCTACAATAGAGCCATGTCCAAATATCAACATTTGGAAAGATCAAATTATATGCAGGTCATTTACATCGTAGGACAATTAAAAAAGCACTATACAAATACCCAACAATACACATACACAGAAAACTATCACTACAGTCAAGAATGTTGGCAAAGAGAATTCAATTTAAGACAGCTGGAAACACATTCCATCATTTGGCCAAAAATAATCTGTTTGAATGCATTGGTAATGATTTTATATTAAAAGAAAAACTGAAGTATGTAAACAATAAACCCAAAAAGTTTATATTAACGGACTGCACTTCAGACATTCAAAACATGTTTGTTTTTTTTTTCAATTATGAAAAATGCTGTACAGAATAAAATGTTGTATTGGTAAGTAACGCTCCAAATATTGCTTTGACACTGGTCCACAAATTTTTGATTTAATAAATTGCAAAATTATGATTATTTGGTCTGAACCCTGAAATGGTTAGATGTCTAAATGGAAAAAGAAAAAGTGTGTGTGGGGTTGAAATAGATAACCTGATGTCGGAGAACACCTATTTTACATGCATCTCTGTGTTACTGTGTGCTAATGAAAAAACAATGTGTTAGTTGTAGAGCAAGAAAACAAAAAAAATCACACTACATATATTCCAATAAATCCCTTTTTGTGAAAAGAAAACAATAAAATCTCCTTTTTAGTTTTTAAATAAAGTTCAGTGTCAACATGGCTTTCAAAAAAAAAAAATGTGAATTGAGTTTAATCCTCCTGAAAATGGTGACAGGTGAAACATGTTTGAGGATAAATCCCAGATTATAAGAAGGCAATGGCTGTGTATCCCATCAGGCCTCAGTGCTGACAGGATCAGTCGGGCGTACAGTTGAGGGAAAATCTCACACTGCTACGCTGTTGGCAACTTGTCAGAGCAAACACAAAAGCACAGGTCAAGTAGTTTCAGACAGCACTGCTGTTCCTATCTTTTATCCGATAAGCCTCTTCATCACAGTGGGTCGAGAGAAGGGCCAGCAGTATTCGTTGGGGACGGGTCCATTGACATTGCATTCAAAGAAAGAGAACATGGGAAACCAGATGCGGGCTCGGCGACTCTGCTGGTAGGCCCGTGTGTTAGCTAGAGTGTGGTAATACAGGAACAGTCTGGTAGTGATGTAGAAGGCGATGAAGACGTCAATGGAATAGTGTTCATGTGCGGCCAGGATGAAAAAGATGCCAAAGAGGTTAAGGACCCAGGACAGGGTGTGAATAAAATTCCAACTCCGTGGAGTATCTTTGTGAGACAATTACAAAAAAACAGAAATTAGTTAAAAACGGTATGCCTTCTAATGCTGGATGTAATACCAGCGAAACCCACAGTGTGGCAGTAAAGCAAACATTAACAAACAGCAATTCAAAAATGTCTACTGACCTTTTAATAACAAAATGGACTTTAGTATAGTAAAGTAGTAAACAGCTTATCTGTTTGGAATTAGGAAAAGTCCTAGAAAAAGTCTAAAACTTCATTTTCTTTTAGACCATTAGTATCTATACAAGTTATTTCTATATTTATTTCTATATTATATTAGTATTATAGTATGTATCAATTAGTATTATATCTATATTTACACAATATTATATATACATAATATACATAGTATAAATTAATACTCTAAAATATATATCTAATACTAATTAATGCATACTATAAAGTTGCAGAACACTCTTTTATATGTACATATACCCACTGTATAAATATATATATAAAAAGAGTGTTCTGCAACACGGTCAGAAAGCCACATGCACTCCTCATGTCAACAGTTAGATGCTTTTATTATTCATATCTCTGTTTCCTCAATGCCTTAAGTCAAAGTGGACAGCTAACACTTTTCAGCACAAGCACAAAATAATTAGTTAGGATTAAAATTACTTTAACAGGCGTCAACAGAATCAAACTTACACTCTGTGACGAAGAAGTTCAGCATGGTGAGGACCACGGTGTGACCGCTGAACATGTAATCGCCACATGTGTGCACTCCAGTCAAGCTCATCCCAAAACCACTCCAGATGGCCACGGCTCGATGCAGTTTGGCCCAAACGTCACCGTATATCTGCAGAGAGGGAAGAGGGAATGTCAACAACTGTGACGCAATTCAGTGCAGGCCCAGTCAGTCAGTCATGAAAGCAGAGCATGTGTTGGCTACCTTTCCTGAGCACTGCAGGTGCTGCCCTGGCACAGACAGGGAGGTGACAAACATGGTGATGCAGCGCAGCATGAACACCGTCCCCATGAGGCTGCACATCCGCCGCAACAGGATGGATCTGCAAGTGGTGTACAGTTGTCATCGCCTGATCGTTCCATGCTATTGATTTATGGGAAACGCGGCAAGTGATCTGCACAACAATCCCTGCAGCAATATGGCACCAAGTGCTGTAAATGACTTGTACCTATGTTTATGCAGCAGCAGGACCAGCAGCCAGATGTTACAGAGAATCACTCCACACGTCTCAGCCATGGCAAAGGCCCATGGAATTCTTGGCACGCTGTGAGAACAGGCAGAAATAACTAATTAATTTGTAAAACAGAAAAACATGTGACCTTAAGCAGTTGTTTTTCAAACCGAGAGAAGATGAGTTAAATAAAATGAATCAAATTATTATTATTATTATTTTCATAACCATTTGTCCTGAACCTTACAACACATTACTGCCATAATGGTTGGATTCTCACATTTCAGATTGAACACACCTCGTATGCTATCAGAAACTTGGCATGATGACTCTGAGACTTTGCTTTTTTTTTTGTCTGGTCCGACCAAAATTTTTATTCCATTACTCTGTGACCTCCAACAACAGCGGTTTTCAAACCAAGCACTCTCGTTTTAATGCCTCCAAACAAACAAGGACTAAAGATCTTTTGTTCTAACAAATATTTGCATTTGCATGAAATCTGCTTTTCCAAGAGGCTAAAAATGAGGAGCTTATAGTCTGGCTGCAATCACACAATTCACACCAGGAAGTAGGTCACAAAGTAGAAAAAACATTTCAAAGGTCTCTGTGAACCTACACTAACCCAGTAGGAATAAGGTTGGCCAATTTTAGATCCATTCAATGAGTAAGTAGGGCAGCAACGTCGCCACCTTGTGGTGACAGTCTGACAGATTAAACTATACATCTCAGTATCATCCTTCATGTCAGTTTATGCATGTGAAACCCTCACCTGTCTAAGAAAATATCAGGCAGTGGTGGGTATGTGCGCATGTCAGGCACCCTCTCATGCACAATAACCATGACGAAGGACGTGAAACCGAATACAAAGACCACGTAGACAGAGCTTAGCACAGTCTTCCAGTATTCTGGATCCAGACGCCTTGTCTGCTGCTTGTACTTTCCGTTAGTGTACTGGTGGTACTCCTCTCCCACTGGCGCCGTGTCCGTGCTGTCGCAGTCTCTACCCTGATCTCCGTTACACAGCCAGTCCACGCTGCTCCCCGATCCTGTGGGGGAATGGCCATCAAAGGGGAGACCCAGCTCCTCCAGCACGTCCACATTCTGCTTCTGCAGTTTGCGGATGGACACCATCAGCCGCTTGATGTCTCCCAGCACCTTCAGCTCCAAAGGTGGCGAGCGGAGGTCGTATTCACTGAGGGCGAGCAGACTGGTGCCGTCCAGTCGGTGCTTGTTGCACAGCAGGTCCACATAATCACAAAAGCCCTCTTCCCTCAGCCACTTGGCCACATGTTTGGGCGCCCAGTGACGAACACTCAGTTGGGACATTTTGTCCTTCGACGGACGGCTGAAGGAAAATACAAGACGTTTAAATAGTGTTACTTTAAATGTCTCATTGCCAATATCACTTCCTCTTTGACTTCCTCCCTAACAAAAAACAGGAATCTTAAGAAGTTGACAGCTCAATCAAATCATTATTTACTAAACCCACAATTAGAATTCTGGACAATTACAACAAAAGTCTAATTGGGGTTTTAATAAGTAGACAGGGTTTTGACAACTTGGACAAATACTGCACATTAAGCCAACAATGGCAGAATTTTGCAGGAATTTCTCCTGTGCACTGTTTGGTCACAAATGTGTGTGTGAAAGAGGAGACACACTCACTTGATTAAACAGGGACTTGGATTTCTCTGTTTGTAATCTCCCAATCTCATTATAGGCTGACAGTGTGACCCTCATTCTTGTTTAATCTCATTTAATTGATTGTGACAACAGACTCTGTCCCCAGGAGTGCCCATGTATCCTCAGAGTCAGCATTTCCGACTGCGTATACTAAATGTGGTTGACTTTTGACACATACAAGTCGTTTTGTTTTGTCTGTTTGTCTCAACTATTTCAAGCCTTGTTTCGATCTACTTTTAAATTACAGAACCAAAACAAGTACCAAAATAGCTTATAAACATAACACGTGGAAGCCCAAACGTGTATTTACCCTTTTACTTCTTATAAATACTCTTGTTTGCTATGTCTACTCTTTTTAATTTACAAAACAGACACCATTCTCTGCAAGACAAAGGCTGCAACTAAAGTCTATAGACCTAAAAAAAAAAAAGATTTTTATATAAAGCCTGACTTTTGACTGCACACAGTTCTGTACAGTTCTTATATAAAGTCTATGCCATGAGGCATACACTTATAGTCTCGATATATGAATGAGGATTACGTTTGAATTGTCTAACTTATTGAAGGGTATTCATGTATGCTGCACATTTAAGCAGTCCAATACATGGATCAAGGACACTGAAATAGATGCCGCCTCTTGTTATTGCAATTCCTAATGAAAACAGTGCTATATGCTAGCTGTGACTCACGCCCACTTGCAATAACCTACAATGGTATTCACTTACAACGGGGCCTTAGGGCTACTGATAATTTGACTTTATTCTTCACTGTCAAACTCCGGCAGCTGTAAGGTTTATTTTGTGTCTATAAATTGAAATTTGAGTAGCACTTGGACGCTGTTCTGTTCTGCCTTATCACATTCACAGTCTCAACACAAGCAGGTCAATTCAGCTAAAGACAGCTAGCTCGTCATTCGTTTACCCCACCACAACCTTCATCTTATTGTTACTCACCCGGACAGTGATACAACAGGGGACGGTACCGAATTGTTCTGATTCAGCCGGCTAGCTGAACGGCATCTCGAACGTAGACTGTCGACGTGTTAGTTGTTGCCGCAAAAGGTCTACTTCTTTGGGAATCATTTTGGCCCCGATTTTGAGCTTGTTAGCATGGCTGTTGACAACACCAGGGCGTAACGCTCAGAGTAGATGCGCACAAGTAATGTCAGCTAACGGGCTTCTTCCACGTGTGGGAGCGAAAGTATCATTCTTGCTGTACAACACTGGCATCTGCTGGTGACAGCTGTAAACTACTCAACTCTACACAACCATTTTGTTGTTTTGATATTAAAAGACAGTCTTTGGGCAAATGTTCGCTGCAAATGTTCGGAATTGTGGCTACGAAAAATGTAGTGGTTTGTAATTAATTGTTTTTAAAAATACGCCGCCGAGTAATATTTAGAATATAGGTCATTTTGTTTTATTATAGACCACACAGCTGTTCTCGTCAGTACCAACATGGTTGTAATAAAGCCTCCACAGAGTCTGAAAATAAATCTTAGTAGACGAAATCTACAAATAAAGAAATATACATAGCAGTTCTTTAATAAGTCAGTTAAGCAATGATTAGTCTACAGGATAGTAACACAACTGTCCCTACTGCCCCCACTGTGGTGGAGTTAGAGAAGGTTTTGTTTGGAGGAAAAAGGTTTGGTAATCCTGTTGATGAAGTTTGGCCTAACCTCTTCATTGGTGACCTGTAAGTCCAGCTGCACACTTCTTTTGGGACTTTATGATTACTGTGTTCATGATGATAAATCCTGGATTCTGTATTGTGTGCAGGTCTGTCGCCAATGATCGCTACAAAATATGGAAGATGGGAATCACTCATATTTTAAACGCAGCCCATGGGAAAACACACTGTCAGGGGAGCCATGACTTCTATGGATCCAATGTGGATTATTATGGAGTGCCTGCAGATGACTCACCAACCTTTGACCTCTCTCACTATTTCCTTCCCTCAGCTAATTATATTAAGGATGCACTTAGTATGCCTGGAGGTAAACAGTCACCATGTTGCTGTTGTATGACTCACTTCTAATGCTTGTGCCTTCCCGAATATCTCCAAGGTCAGGATTTAAACTCTATACTAACATTGTAATGTTATTTTTCACCAGCCAGGGTTTTTGTTCATTGTGCAGTTGGAGTCAGCAGGTCTGCCTCCCTGGTCCTGGCCTACCTCATGATCCATCACCGTTACACCCTATTAGAGGCCATCAATAAGGTCAAAGAGCACAGGTGGATTTTCCCAAACAGAGGATTCCTCAAACAGCTCCGTGCTCTGGATGAGAAATTATGTAAAACCTGAGATCATTTTAGTAAAAGAAAAACTGAAATAAATTATTTTTTACTGAACAAAGTCTTGAAATGCTCGTTTTTCATAATTTGTGCGCAGCAGTAAAAAGCAGACTAGTTCCATTTAAATATTTAATGAAGCAATAAACATTCCTTATTATTATCATAAATATTTAATGTTATATATATATATATACAGTATATATATACACAGCCAGACAAAGTCACTTAAATGGCTGCCTTTTCTTTTGTGTTTGATCTATGCGTTTTTCACAGTTTATATATATTTTAGTAGATAGAATTAGAAAAATTCTGTATCGCACATAAGGTGTTCTGATAGTTTTAAAGTTACAGGCAGAGTAACCAACATCTGCAAATACAGTAGTGACATTCTTCACACTCTGAAAACATGGATCCTGTCACCTGCAGCTATGAATCACATTCCGCCAGTTATTGTTATGTACAAACCCAAGTGGCCTCAGGTCTCGGTACACACACTACGGTGGACTGATCGATAAGCAGAAGCAACACTTCTGATCATCAATCAATACCTGTCTGTGGGTCAAAACGACCCCCAGACCTTTATTGATAGAACCTGTATACAACAGCACTGACATTTTACAATAGTTATTGAGCTCAAATTGTACACGTGCATTCATGACCCCGAGAGGAGTCATTACTATTCCTGGCATAAAAAAAAAAGAAGGCTAATTATGTTTTTTTATGTACACAGAAGCAGGAATTGACCTGTAACATAACGGGAGGGTTAACAAAGAGGTTTGCAGCGGTGAGAACAGTTTGATGTCATGTGCAGCCGACGGCGATGCTTAATTTTCTCTGTTCTTGTTCAATGGCCTTTCACAGCATATTAATGTCAGAGCAGTAAGCTGGTTGCATGAAGCTGTTACAGACACTCCCGTCCATAAATACTGTTTGTGCTGCACGTCCTCACGCTTTTACACATTTTCTCCATAATTACATCCAATTTTCCCTGCTCTGTGGAGTAACTCATCTCTGTTCCCGACCCTAATAAATGAGAGTCCCTGCACAGCCGTGGAGTGGAGTAGTGCCCCCTGCATGTAAACGACTACTACCTAGGTTAAGAGCTATATTAAGTAACTGCCCAGTGACAGCAGATAAACACCTGCTGCTGCACATCATCCTGAGCCGGAGCAGACGGGAAGCGCTTTAATACAACAAATATTTGGAACAGGATTCAATCCAAGAGGGGGGATTTGGACTTAAAATGTCAGCCCAGAAAGGCAAGAGAAAGGAATATCTGACCGTGAAGGATCTGCAGAAGGTCTTGGACTCGTGCAAACTACATCTTAATCAAATAGATGAGGTCTGGCCAAACATATTCATAGGGAACGTGTAAGTACACCTTTTTATTTCAAATTTAAACCCCGACTTTATGAGTTTGCCTTGGATGGGAGCGCGGGACTTGATTTTAATAAGTCTCCTAAGGTCATATGCCTCCGCCGTGCAATATTACCTGCCAAATATTTTATCACTGTGACATTAAAAACGCTGTGCTCTAATGCTTCAGCCTTCACGTAGGTCTTGAACTTCTTTCTGTCTCTTTGTCTTGCTAGGGCAGTAGCCCAAAACAAGGCTACCTTGCAGAAATTAGGTATAACTCATGTGTTAAACGCTGCCCACTCCAAGCGAGGCAGCGTAGGGAACCAAAGCTTTTATGGCAACGACTTTGTGTATTGTGGCATTCCAGCAGATGACTCGACACACTTTGATCTGGATGTTTACTTCAAGCAGGCAGCTGATTTCATTCACAATGCCCTGAAGACACCCAGTGGTAAGACTTTTTAAGTTTTTCTTTTAATTATCCAACTCACCCTCTGTAAGTCATGTTTTCAGCATAAAGCCTTAAAATAGCATTTACTCAACTTCCACCACCCCGCTGCCCTGTCACCTGTCACCATGATGTTACATCACTATTAGCCTCCAAGCGTATTTTCAGCCAGCAGAAATAACAAGTCTTACCTTGCAGAAGCTATAATGTGGCCATGGCACTTCTTAAATGAATTATCAAGCAGAGGATGAGAAGCGATTACGGGGATTTTGTCTCTTCTACAGAAAAGTACCTTAGGTGAACAAAGGTGATGAGTCGCTGGCTCTATTTTTAGCTCCGGGCTGTAAAAAATATACACATATAAAAGAAAGCCACACAGTGGGATGGAGGCGGTCATGAATGTTATTAATAAGACTGAGGGGCCCACTCACTAATCTTTTCTTTAACTGCCACCTCTCCACTCACCTCCCCTATTCCTCAGGGAAAGTTCTGGTGCACTGCATCATGGGAATGAGCCGCTCGTCCACACTGGTGCTGGCCTACCTCATGATCCACCGTCACCTCACGCTCAAACAGGCTCTGCAGAAGCTGGTCCAGAAGAGAGCCATCTACCCCAACAGGAACTTCCTGGCTCTACTCTTGGATCTGGACCTTCAGATGACCAGAAAGAAAAAGACATGTCAGATTCTGTAATCAACAATGTGAAGTTTAGACCCGTCACTCCGAGGATCGAGGACCGTACGGTCTGTCCGTGGAGACGGAAAGAGATTTACAGCCAGTAAGCTGGAGAAGTTGGGTCAAATTAGGGACGATTCTGCTTAGAGACATTAAGACCAACACACGTTATCAACTACGTCTGCAGTTAGTAATTAGCATCAGACAACGAATTTTACCAACATGAAATTACTCAGTTCCTTCCATTAGTTCTTTTTTTATAGTCTGTCCAACTAAATATCAGCACATTGTGCTGCTGTAGTAGCTAGCCTGGTTAGTAGCTAACCCGATTGGTTCCAAAACCGAGTATTTGCAGGTGTTTCCAGTTATCAGACCTTTGATTGATGGACATGCTGTCAGTGACACACTGTGACCAATCACTGTTGTGCTTTATTGTCCTTTTTTATCTAAATAAGATCATTGTACAAGACCAGAAACGACTGCAGCTATAAGGCTAATGTTTAAAATGCTAATAATGAGCAGTCAGGAGCAGTACTCTTCTACTTCTTGGTTTAGCTATATCTTTTTTTTTTTACATTTGGTAACGAGATGTCATAGACAACTGACCAATCAGATGTAAGTATTTTAGCCACACTGATGTGTTCATTAGCCAACAGCCAACAAAAATGTTCAGATACTTGAACCAAATCCAAAAGAGCTGAGCCTGAAAAACTTGCCACTGTAGCAATACGGCCACCATTACAGCGCCACCCTCAGGCTAAGCCAAGGTAATAATAATAATAGGTCATCTGGTCAGTAATGAGCTGTGTTATCCTCATGGACCTGCTGAAAGGGCTTTAAACTCTCTTTCGTTTTTTTATTGGTGTGTTTTTGGAGGTTTTATTGTTAGAACGTCTTTAAAAAACAAGCGTAGTCGTTAGAATTAAATTCAATCTTAATGAAATGTGAAATGAGGAGGAAGGGAAGAAGAGTGCTGAAGATTTTTTTTTTTGATTATGTCTTGAATGTGTCTTATACTTGTTAGTTGTTTTTTTTTTTCTCACCACCTTGGTTTGTATCACAGCAGAATGGACCAAATGTCTCATATACTGTATATATTTCTACATATATGTATATAATATGTATATAAATATATATACATGTATGTGAAATATGATCTTATTTTGCAAACAGAAATGATGAAAACGTGTGTGTGTGTGTGTGTAAGACAGTGACGGGAACAAATTGGCGTTATCTGTCATGTACAGTGTGTCTTTGTCGTGCTAGCTGAGCCAGTTGCTGCTGCGTATCCAAAAGGCTTCTGGTTTTTGATCGTCCGTGACATTTTCTGTAGAGATATTAACGACAGACGCACCCAGGCGTATACGTGCATGCACCAGTAGCAGAATTTGACAGCGATGATTTCTACCTGTTACAAATGATTACCTCTCAGTCTCATTATGTGACAGCGCCACATACGTGAATCCACACATGGACGTGCAGAAACACTGCATTTTCTGAAGCACCGGTGTTTAAAGAGCCTGTAAAAAAGTCTCTGCCACGTAAAATGTTTTGCATTGTTGAACTGTTACAAGAGCTACTGCAAAGGACACTTGATGTAAATAATGAAAAGAAAATGTTAATGGTCCACACGTTGGAACATTACATTCTGTCAGGTCTCTACTGTGTATTGCAGTTGTTTTTACGTGCGAATGGTTGCCAGGTTTTCCTTGCACTTTCTTTCATTGAATGCTGTAAAGACTGAACCATCTTTTCTGTATTGAGGTGTCAGAGGTCGCCAGTTTTTCCTGCACTTTGATTCATTAAATTCTTTAACGACTCCTGTGATCAAACAGGCAGCACTTAATGCAAATGTGTGGTGAAGAGTCTCAGGCAGTGCCACTCTGTACACTCATCCTATCTACTGCTTTGGCTTTTGAAAAAGCTGTGTCCTATCCTCCCTCCCATGCTGGCAGCTCGGGTAACCTTTAAGGAATGCAGAAGACGATGCCAGGATTATTTTGGGCTGAGATTCAGATGTTAAAAAAGGAAAAAGGTTGTGGGGTGGATTACCAAGTAGAACACAGACAGCTGAGCTCAGCCAACATGTAGAGCTACAGAGAGAGAGAGAGAGAGAGAGGGACTGAAGATCCACATTTTGAGAGAAAGGTAAGTGTTCAACACTGGAGTAGATTTAATGTGGTCGAATGTGTTGCCTGTGTGAACATGATTACACGTTCTATTTCAGTGTGCAGATTTATTGTGCTGTACACCGATGGTTTCCAGAAAACATGTCTATGAAGCGCTTTTTTCGACTGTTCTGGGATGAATGTATTTGGGCTGTTCACTGTTACAGTTTTCTCTTTTATTAATTAGCGCTCTAATCCAGACAGCCCACATCTGAAAGGCTAAATTGGAAAGTGTAATTCATAAAAGTACCAAGAAGAGGCCCAGAGGAGTTGAAAAGGAGCCATATTTATTTGCCCTCCATGTTAACTGTGGGCACTTTCCCATACATAGCATCTTTAATTACACAGAAGTGGAGCAGGAAGCACAGGTTAGCCTAAGGGAGGGGGGGTGGGGTGAAAGCAGCTCCGCACTTAAACATGTGCACCAGGGAAATCAGTTCTCTGCCCTGACTGTGGGAGGGAAGAGGAGACGCGGGGAGGGAGGGAGAGGAAGGGCTGTACTTATAGATCAATGAGGAGAGAGAAACGCCTTCGGCTACTCTGGGCACAAGATGTACTTGAGCAAAGACAGACTTTGCTCAGCCTTCAGGACTCACACACCCATATGCACGGAGCACGCACTGGATCAGATGCAAAGCGTTTTTTTTTCCTTCTATCTGAGTGACTGGCGTGCTCATGCAGACGGCGATGGCAAGGCATCAGCATGGTGATGTCTTGAGTGCTACCTCCATATGCCACGGCAGCTTAACAAAAGGTCACAGAAGCAGATTTAGTCTCACTGACTCATCCCTGTGGACACAACAATACGTCCCCCAACCCAGAGCGCCCGACTGCTTCTCCGCACACCAGTAGAATGCAAACAGAATTTTTAGCCGCCATCGGGTTCTTTGCTTAACAATGCACGCACAACCCTGTCCTCTCCATGGCTCGGAGCAGAACGGCGCAGCTATAGATGCTAATGTATACAGGGTGCAGATTGTAAATGCACAGGTTACTTCTGCCTGCAGGAAATGAAAAGCTGTAGTTTAAGAGCCTTGAATGGCAATTTTCTGTATTTACAGAAATAAATAATAAAAGAAAAGTGCTTCAAAACAGGAGAGAAAATAAGGACAGCGTCAATGTACTGTAATGTGCTATTAGGGCTCTCTTCTGCAGTGGAGTCCATTAATTGGTGATATGATGGTCACCATGCGCTGGATGCACGCCTGTGGACTCGTACATTAATTCATACACCACACTGTGATGCTATATATTTTTCTATTGTACGTATTTATAGCAGCTTACTGTATTGTGATGTCCTCACCTGAGTACAGCCATTTAAAGTTACCAGTGCTTCCACTCTATCCACTTTTTCTATGCTAACCTATAATTGAGAGAAAGTAAAGAAGCAGCAGCAGCAGCAGCACTCACCTCTCCATGACTTCTCAGCACTTGCGTGTGTGTGTGTGTGTGTGTGTGTGCGTGTGACCCAAATTTTATTGCCGAGACAATGCTGTCAAATTAAACTCTGTTTGAGAGCAGATATATGCTGTCGCTGTGTGTGTGACAGGTTGTAAAAGGAGCGGTGAAATATTCAGACATGCCCAGAGGCCTAGGCTGCCTGGCGAGCCCTGAGGGGGCAGGCAGCAGGTACGAGACCCCCCCGGCTTCAGAGCTCCAGAGGCTGATGTGGACAAAGAGAGACAGCAACAACCACCTGGACGAGGTTCAGCCGCGGATCTACATCGGAGACATGTAAGACTAATCCAGATCACTGTGTTTAGATGCTGTGATGACGGAGTGATGGAGGGTTCTTCCTTTAAGACGCAGCTAGAGTGACTGACGGATCATGTGGTACCTGAGCTAGCGGTACGCTGGTACGTGATCCTGGACAGAGACAAAAATACACAGTGATAGCTTAAATATTCAGTTAAACAGACTATTTATGCAGGAGAGACGGTGGGGATAGGGTGGGGGGGTGTGTGATGATGGGTGTGAGAACTGACAAGAGTAGAAGGATGTCGGACACATGACGGAATTCTGATTCACTACACAGCGAGAAGAGCTATCAGAAACTGACTGTGCGCAGAGTTTACATGTCCCAAAACATATGTGCACACACTTCTGAGTGAAAGGCAAATAAAGTAAAAATCACAGTTGAAATAGATTTACCTTGCTGCGTCCCCTCCTGCTGTAGCTCCTCGCCCCATAGGAAGGGCTCACTCCCCACTTTGGGAATCACTGTATTGAATTATGGGGCCTGAGCGCAGGTGCATGAAGAAGGTCTCGGCTGTTTTTTTCCAAATCAGTTTGAGTACGCCCACTGTGGCCACCTGATGAAGACACAGGCCAAAGTCATCATTCTTCTTCTCTACTGCAGTTGTGGAACAGAATAGTTCTAGAAATTCATCTTTTTCTACCTCAGTCGGTTTTGTGCTACATTATATTTATTAACATCCATGTGTTTTATTCTATTTTGTAAACACTTGGTTTTCCTCTAGGCCGAGCTTTTTTTTCTGTGTGTGTGCGCTATGACGCTTCCATCGATGAAAGCTCAAAGCCTAAATTATACGCTGAATAAATCTGAAAGATTCCTAAATGCTGGGTACAGAAGGTTTAGAATATTACTATGTAAACACACATCAATGGGTTGTGCTCACGAATTAGGTCAGTTTTTAAAGTTGTTTTTCCTTTTTTTTAATTTTTAAACCACAGCCTACAAATAACTGTTTCTCTGTGTAAATAAATAATAATAAAAAAACTCCCTTAAAACATGCTAGCTTGTTTAGAATTGTAAAATGCATTGCTCTATATAAAATAATTTGGCACACACTCTTCTCTGGATAATCACTAAATAGTTTTGTGCATATAAATCTTGCTCATATTAAACTGTTGTGTGTTTTTAACCTTCAGGTCGGGACCCCATGTGGGGTCGTCTGAAAAAACAAAATCACGTGACGAAAAAGTCTCTGAGGTCGGGAAAAATTTGTTATGTCAAAATGGGGACCCAAACCAAAAAGTGTTGGCAAAGCACTGGGTTTGTGCTTATGGAGATATCGAAGCTTTATTTTCAGTGGCCCGCTGATATGTAACGGCGTATTTTCTCTTTAGGTACGCAGCCAAAGACAAGAGGACACTCCAAGCTCACCGCATCACTCATGTGCTTAACGCCGCTGATGGCAAGTTCAACGTGAACACGGGCCAGAGCTTCTACAGAGACACAAATATCACTTATCATGGAGTGGAAGCGTTTGACATGCCGTCCTTTGACTTGAGTCCCTTCTTTTACCAAGCCGCCAATTTCATCAAGAACGCTTTAAGCTCACCCACAGGTGAGAAGCTCTCAGTGCACTCAAGCCATTTGTCATCATTTTAACACATTAACTCACATCAGACATGTTGGTTGTTTTTTTGTTTCGCCCAGCAAGGCAAGGTGCTGAAACATTTGTCAGTCAATTCCCATTACAGCAGCCCCCAGTTGTATTAGTCATTAAAATGCAAATCAAACACTAAACACAATATCAATCTAATATCTTTCCCCCACAGTAATCTGCTCATAAGCTGAGACCTTGCCTGGGAAAATTGGTTTTAAATGGATTGCCCTGGTAATTTGTAAGCAACACTTTTATTGGACATGGAAATTACACAATTATGTTTGTGGCCTGTGTCTGTTCGGCCTGTTATGCAAAGTGAAGCGGGTATCTGACATGGCAGCAATAAGATGCGGCTTTCTCCCTCACATTCTGGCTGATGGAGGGCTCCAGTGTGCGGCGAGGCCTACAGTAATCCCCGGCAGAAATACACCGACCCCCAGACAGTTCAATTACGCGCTCCTCTGCACCCTAATCCTCGGCCCCGATAAGGAAGCAGGGATTACCATGTGTAGAAACATTGTGGGAAACTTTTAGCTAGGTGTTAGAAGTAGTGCTCTCTGTGATGTGCATGGTTTTTTTTTTAATCCACAGTAACAAATTAGACAGTTAGAATAAAGTGCACAACAATAATCCAGTTGTCACGGGCTTATAAGTGGAGACTGGAGTAGCTCTGCAGCTCTGACGTGACCCACAGGAAATTGTTTTTGTTTCCACCGATTGTTAGGAAGAGTGTTTGTCCACTGCGCCATGGGCCTCAGCCGCTCATCCACTCTGGTCCTGGCCTATCTCATGATCCACAACGACATGACGCTGGTGGACGCAATTAAAGCCGTCAGCGCCAACAGAAACATCTCACCCAACGCCGGTTTCCTGGAGCAGCTCAGAAAACTGGACAAACAGCTGCACTGCCGAGAGTCGTCCAGGAGCTCATACAATGGACGGACCTGAGATAAAAATCGACCTTGAGCCACTGGAATACGGCATTGTTTCAGCCGTCACTATAACGTAAAGAAACATGTCTTTATATTTAAGACAAGACAGCTTTCACTATGTTTTAACACAGATTCTGACATATAAACTCAATGTCAACATGGGATTGCTTTTCTTTAGCTGCTTTTAACACAACTAAATTCATGAGTTGTTTCCTAACACTGGTGCTGCCGTGAAAAAGAAGAACTCCAAGACGTGCATCTCAGAGATTCTCCTGACCCCAGGATCAGGTGATCCTGGAAGAAGAAAAAAATTATATTTCATATTTGAATGAGCGGGCACCCGCAGGTCAGAAAATACATAATTGATGAGAAAAATATCAAGCAGTGTTTCCATAATTTATCAGTGGAAGTCTTCTGAAATGAATACAATTAGTGTTGAGGTCAAGGCATGTGCTATTGAACACCGCCTTTCAAACACTGGGGGCTTGAAAACAGACAGAGACAGAATAAGAAGGAATTCAACATCCTCAGTTTGTAAGTGAGAATAATATGAATTGATTAATGACACGGGGTCAAAAAATAAAACTGTTAAGTTTACAGTTGTGCTAGGAATGATACATTAGGTGATAATGAATTTATTAACATTGATGTAAGCCTCACTTTGGCTCTAAAAGCTACATAAAATCAATGACTTAGACTAAGTAATGACTTAGTAAGACTAGGTAAGGTATAAGGTATGTAAAAATTTAATGTAAGAAACACAGAGTACAGTGACCCCTCGAGATACAAGCATAATCCGTTCCAGGACCGAGCTCCTATCTCAAATCACTTTTCCCATAAGAAATAACAGGAAAGAAAATGAATCGTTCCGGCCTTCTAAAAAACTCCATCCATTAGTGCTAATAACAACGGAAAAAACATGTTTTTAATTGCTATAGGGACATACACAGACACAAAAAATAGTATATTAGGATTCCTGTGATAGAACTTACATAAACTTAGAATTAACGTTTCTATTTTTATTTATTTTTTTGCTTTTTTTGCTTTGTATTCTTTCTTTAGCAAGCACCACCACCAGAGGTTCCACTGTATTTTCTTGAATTTTACCCTGCAGGTGGGGCTGAAAGCAATTGTAATGCTTTGTTTCTTCAGTTGATAACATTTACTACATTGATAAGTGATTTTGTGTAGAGTAAAATAAATGACAGCCACAAACCAGTTTCTAATACTCACTGGACTGATGCTGATTGGTTGTTGTTTACACCTCCATAAAGCCACAAACCAGTGTATTATAGAAAATTATGATTTAAAAACCCCCACATTTTTTACATTACAAAATAAGTTCTTTCCTCTCCTGTTTTCAATGCCCACTGTCTTCCTATATTTCCCTATTTATGTCTGAAAGCTGCTGATGTCATCCATCCTCCTTTTTTATAGTAATCAGTTTTTAATTAGTTTTCATTAAACTCACTTGCTTGACAAAAAAAAAAGAAGAAGAAGAAAAGCCCAGTATGTTCTGAATAAGTCATGATAATGTAACGGTAAGCACGTCTGTGGCTTCTAGTTAAAGTTGTCACAACACAAGCTGCCTGGCTTCTGTCACAGTCATGCCCAGAATAAATAGCCCACATTGCTCCTGCTCAGACTCTGGCATCTTCAGCTGTCTCATTCCAGCAGGACTCAAGTCTCTAAACAACACTGATCTGCACTTCACATGAAAAACAGAGCCGGGCCGCGGCAATAAGCTTCATGTGTGCCACAAGGCCCTCTCCAGGAAGAGAAACTAGCAGGAGCGGGGCGACTGTAACATCTTTTTTTTTTCCATCCAAGGACATTTCTAATACTCACTGGACTGATGCTGATTGGTTGTTGTTTACACCTCCATAATTCAAGAATAAAATGTATTATAGAAAACCCCCACATTTTTTACATTACAAAATAAGTTCTTTCCTCTCCTGTTTTCAATGCCCACTGTCTTCCTATATTTCCCTATTTATGTCTGAAAGCTGCTGATGTCATCCATCCTCCTTTTTTATAGTAATCCGTTTTTAATTAGTTTTCATTAAACTCACTTGCTTGACAAAAAAAAAGAAGAAGAAGAAAAGCCCAGTATGTTCTGAATAAGTCATGATAATGTAACGGTAAGCACGTCTGTGGCTTCTAGTTAAAGTTGTCACAACACAAGCTGCCTGGCTTCTGTCACAGTCATGCCCAGAATAAATAGCCCACATTGCTCCTGCTCAGACTCTGGCATCTTCAGCTGTCTCATTCCAGCAGGACTCAAGTCTCTAAACAACACTGATCTGCACTTCACATGAAAAACAGAGCCGGGCCGCGGCAATAAGCTTCATGTGTGCCACAAGGCCCTCTCCAGGAAGAGAAACTAGCAGGAGCGGGGCGACTGTAACATCTTTTTTTTTCCATCCAAGGACATCAAATCTTTTGGGAGTGTGCGTGTGTGTGTGTGTGTTGCTGAATGCCATTTGTGACGACAATGACAGGAGCAAAGTGAAAGCTGCGGCTATGAACCCAGTGGAGGAGTCAGAGTACCAAACACCTCCCACCTGCGATCTGCTCAGCCTTCTGCTGAGAAACAGACGCCCCACCGGAGCTGTCAACGAGGTTTGGCCCAACCTCTACATCGGAGATGCGTAAGTGTCATTCTCACTTGGGTCCCCTGCTGCAAAGCGGAGGGATTTGATTGAGAAACTGTTGCTGCAAACACGGCCTCTATTTGGCCATCTGACGGAACAAATATAAAAAAGTGTGTACATTTGAGTCACAAGTGACACATTTGCAAACATATGTCTGCAGACTGAAGACCAACACGGCAAACTACACTGGTTGTGTTGTTTTCTGTGTTGTGACGTTCCCAGGGCCACAGCGCAGGATAAAACCCGGTTGGTCAATCTGGGTGTCACCCACGTGGTCAACGCTGCAGGTGGAAAACAGCATATTGACACCGGGGCCCATTTCTACGCAGACACTGACATACTGTACCATGAGGTAGAAGCAACAGACTGTAAAGACTTTGACTTACGTCCATTTTTTACCAAGACATCTGATTTCATTCACGGCGCTCTGAGCCAGAAAGGTAAGAGTCAGTTTGTACTGGTGAAAAACAATGACAACAAAACAGGAAATAGATATGATCTCAGAAAGTAGAGCAGCCTAGCCTAACAGAAGATTTCTGCAAGCCCAGGGACATTTTATTTTTCTTGAATTAGTTTTTCATCATGTTTGTTATTTTATTTTCCCTGATCACATGTTCAGAAAGCTACTGCAGCATCTTAAACTGGCCACAGGGAAAATATGAAAGATACATAAATATTTTTTTTAAAAATTACACAAGCCTAAAGTTATGTCCTCAAAACTGTTCCTTTGTTTGTTTGTTCGTTTTTTGTGTGTTTAAGAAACTAAAACTGGAGACAGTCAGATAAATAACCCAGATCTTAGTCATTGTCTGATTTGGAACTGCATAGATTTCCTGCTATTTTTCAGCAGCGTCTCCACCGATCTATTCTTATCTCCCTTTCTTCAGCAGTGTATTCAAACAAACACATCTATGTGCAGCCTGTGAGACTGGAAATTTGGTTAAAAAGTGCAACGTGTGTAAGTTATGAAACCCTTTTGGACAGTTCTCATGTGGACCTCATGTAATCGGACAAAAAGATGCAACAGCAGTGTAGCACAGGTTATCCAATTCAAATTTACTTTATATATATACATATAGATATATGAAGTAAGAATATAAAGTGTATATATAGAGTATACTGTATATAGTACATGCTAGTGATGACGTAAGCTAACATTACTAATTCACTATGAATAAGAATTTGTGCAAAAGCTACACATATTATACTTAAATATAACATATCTCTGAATTTGTAAATTAATAATACAAGCTGCTGCTGTATGTGCTATTTTTATTTGCATCGTCGTCTGTCCCCTGAGCAGGTAAGGTGCTAGTCCACTGTGCCCGAGGAATCAGCCGCTCAGCCACACTTGTGTTGGCCTTCCTCATGATAAAAGAGAGACTCACCCTGGTCCAAGCAATAGAGACCGTTGGTCAGCGAAGGAACATTCTGCCAAACGTTGGATTTCTGAAGCAGCTCCGTCATCTGGACTCATCTTTGTTTCTGCGCAGCAGAACAACATGACATAAACAACTAGGATTTCACCACTGAACTTTTCATTCATTAGATCTTATTATTATGTTGTTTGTCTTTTTTTACACCATTGAATTAATAATAATAATAGAATTGTGTGTCTTGCATTTCTGTATTTTGGACCTGGTTCACAGAGTAACTAACCCTGCTTCCTCTATCTTCAATTAAACAGAGCAGTGAGATGGTAAAAGGCATCGCAGCCTCCAACTGAGAAGCTAAATGGAACTTAATAATGTGCATATTTACACCCCGACTTCTCCCTACTGTGAACTGTCAAAATAAACAAGACCCATGGTCACCATTCACAGAATTCACACACACTCTTACTTACACAGCCGAGTCCTTGGGTCCTTATTAGGAAATGCACTTCAGGAGAGTGAATCGACTGAAAGAAGGTAGTGATGAGGCTAAAACTACAGTACATTTAGCTGCACACGCTGTCATCACAAGAGGTTTTTTTTTTTACAGATCGTATTTTCGAAAGTTTTTCAGCGGATTCTGCCACAAGGACACCGGTCTCTAAAAATACACCCCTTAAAATGCTGTTAAAAACTCACAGACTCATCTAAAATGCACAGCCTCAGCAGTTCTTAATCTCCCTCAAGAGGAATTTGGTGTAGAATAAACCTGTAGAAATAATATTCTGTCTTGTTTTCATTTTATTGTAAGCAACGGTTGTTTGTTTTGAATTATTATCAGTGGATATTATACCCAGTTGGTGGCAGTAATGTAATTCAAAAGGCGCAAAAGTAAAAGGACAAGGAAATTAGCTTAGCCGAGCCAGAAATTGTCATGAATCTTTATGTTCATACATCGGTAGCTATTACTATTTACCACTAAACCTTATTTAATAAAATAGAAGACTTAGACTTACTTACTTCGATACTATACCGCAGTACTATTCTTATCTTATATACCGGACATACAGTACACGACCATCATAGAGATGATTTTTCATGTTCAAAAAAACCTTTGTCACTGGCACATTAAACTTTTGGAATTGTGCATTCCAATCGATTGATAGCACCCCCTAGAGATGACTTTGGGGGAATATTGTGCTCTGTGCTTATACACACTTACATTTAACTTTGTATTCCAGCCTAATGCTGGTCAAAGTGTGGTCTCTAAAACTAATTTCAAATACTCCTTTGTTAAATAGCCAACAAGTTATCACTTGTTAAAGTTGATTTATTTATTACTTTTTTTACTTTAACTGTACGATTTGTGTTTTAATAGTAGTACTAGCATATACTTGTACTGAAAAACCATTTTTATTTATACGTTTTTGTCAATCACATCCATTTAAAGGGTTTAATTTAAATGATTTCTTAGGCTTATCAAACAATTATACTTTCTGGTTGAAGTCTGTATTGAGACAGAGATGTCTTTTTGAACTACTTAAAATTACATTCTAACAAAACTACATGGTAAAGGGAGGTAAACTTAGCTTTTTTTTTTTAATGTTTGTGTAAACTGTGTATTTTATATAAACGTGTAGAAATCAATCACACCCAAAGAGCTGACAATAAAACAGTTCAAGGCTCGTGTCAAACACACAACACAATCAACATTACAGGGACTATTAAAAGAATTACAACGTGTACAGCCGTCAAACCCTCGGCTCTGCTGCAGTTACACAAAGACAGCCTTTGTCTATAAATAAACAATGCTGCTCTTATTTATTCACATCTCCAAACCCCCGTATCCTAACTGCTGCAATCCAGAGTGGTACAGTTACAGCTGTGATGTCTAAAGAGGCCTGATATAAGATGACAAAAATATGTTGGCGTGCTTCTGAGCCTGTGTACAGATTCAGGTCAGACTTTGAAAAGAGATGAAACGCTGAAGCCATCTTAATAAGAGATGCTCTCAGGAGCACAGTGGGAGAGGGTGAGTGAGGGAGATGCTGTCAAAATAAAAGGAATTGGATATCACAGGTTTAATGATTTCACTGTCAGAATGAATGATGGCGGAGTACGGAGATATGAGGGAAAAATAAAGGAGTCTGATGGTGTGAAAACTCTGTCAGACATGTTAGCGGCTTCATCCAGCCATTCCGCCGTACACTCGTCATCACACTCACTCTCGCTTCGGGGGCTCCTATTTAGATCACTGAATGGACCGTGCATACCATATAACTGTGGAATCAAAGCCATGCTGTGAGAAAGCTCATCTGTCTTAACTGTCTGACACATTTCACTTCTCCTTTAGTCCCCAGAGGTTCCAGAAGATGCAGAACATCCTTAACTTGTGTTGCGAAGCTGCGCTTACATGATTTCTCCCTCTGTCTGCTCACGTGCAGCAAGGCTTACAGGGAGACTGACACAATTTGTGTGAGTTTGAGCAGAAGCTCTGAGTGGCCTGTTCACATCAGTGGATGTGGGTATCCGTTGGCAAATGCAAAGTTTGGATAAGCACAGCACCCTGCCAGCAGCGGCACAGATTTAAGCTGTGCTTTCAGAAGTGGACGGCTGGGGACTGACTGGGTGGAAGTTTTCCCCCTGCAGGCGAGGAACGTGGCAGCTAAGGTCAGGGGCCTGCCACATCACAGGCCTAAAATTATCCACTGCATTTGATGCCTGTCACATAGCGGTTACACAATCGCTGCCCTGACGATATTAAACCTAGCCGTGTTCCGCCTTCAAGGACGGCTCCACAGCAAGCTGCCGGAGTGTTGAAAACAAAAATCTGAAGGAGGAAAACACTCTTCAATCTCTGGGCGAGTGGTGCTGAATATGTAAGTGACAAACGGTGACACACAAATGTATTACGTTTCACTAGCACAGGGAGGTAGAAAGGCTCAGTAGGAAAAACAAGTGTGGTATTTCTTTCCACCCCTGAAGCTGATAAATCATGTGTAAGAAGGAGACCCTGTGACAAAATGGCTTCTCACAAGTCAAAGCCCGGCATCATGATGAATGTAACGAATACAGAATCCAGTCTGATGGATGAATATGTTACACCTGAGTGCTACGAGCTGGAGAAAATCCTCAACCGTGGGAGTGTGGCTTACACTCACGTCAACGAAGTCTGGCCTAATGTGTATATTGGGGACGAGTAAGTAAAAAGTACTAAACTGAGTGAAGTGAGTCAAACAACAGGAGGATTAAAACATGATTTGTACTGATTCCTCTGCAGGGAGACGGCAAGGGACAAGTATAAAATCAAAAAGTTGGGGATAACGCACATTCTAAACGCAGCAGAAGGGACGTGGAACAATGTGGACACCGGCCCTGGTTACTACGGCGACATGGACATCGTCTACTACGGCGTGGTGGCAGAGGACATCGCAACCTTTGACCTCAGCCAGTATTTTTTCTCGGGTGCCCAATTTATAGAAAAAACACTGAGCAATCCCCAGAGTAAGACAACCCAGATTTAAAGGATGAATTGATTATGAAACTTACGTTTATCTATAAAATACAATGCTGCATATATTAGAATAGGATTACTTTGTTTTGACCCTTCCCCCCCCATGTGATTTTAACCAAGTTTTGAAGTAGTGTCACATCACATCTAAATCTATTTCGTACAGATGTAGGTCAGTGCTCCGTGCTCTTCAAGTAAACCACACGTTGTCATTTTGTCATATGAAAACAGAACAAAAGTCAAACCATGTGATGTAAACCAGTCTCCTCTGTGGCTGGGAAACAAGAGAGTTGTTCCGCACCACAGCCTGACAGGGTGTGGTTTTCCACAGTTATTCCTTAAGCCACACCACAAATGTGGGGGTTTCAACCGCATCGCTGCCAAACAAACCCACACAGGTTGGGGCTCAAGACAAATCGTCAACTTAATATGCCACATGATCAAAATTGATCTCTGGTTGCAGATTTATCTGTAAATCAAAGCTATTAAAAACCCAAAGTCTATACGAATGCCCTCACATAGGTATATGTTAGCAAGGGGAATGGCTATAATATAATAAAATAGATATCTTGCTCTTAAAAATGAAAACTCAGTTAAAAGATGAATTTAATACACGAAGTGCACAAAGCTAACTGCACCTATAATACTAAAGATCCAGTACTAGATCCAGTGACATTTACAGAATAATTCCTCACAGAGCTCTCTCTATGGAGTATAAAAAAGATCAAATAAACAGTGTATAATTTGGTTGAGTGCACCACACACTGACCACATTCCTCTGATGTGTCTGCAGATAAACTCCTGGTGCACTGTGTGATGGGGAGGAGTCGCTCTGCCACCCTGTTCCTTGCATACCTGATGATCTGTGAGGACATGAAGGTGGGTGAAGCCATTGAACACGTGAAGAAATGCCGCAGGATCATCCCCAACTGGGGCTTCTTGAAACAGCTGAGAGAGCTGGACATGCAGCTGCTAGAGAGAAGGAACTCGGCTGAGCAGAGCTGACATGACAGCCAACGTGACTCTGTGGAGGAACTTCAAAACAAGATGAAGATTTTGTTAGTTTACCATCTTATGCAAGTAGTGTAGTTGTTATATTCTGTCTAGCGCAGTCCTTACGTTTCCTGCTAGAAAATATAAAATTACATTTTGAGAATACTGATGCTCACAAGACAGCAACTAATCAAAGGCCCACCTGGGACTGCCTGGAAATGTGCTCCAGTTGGACTGGTCTGAAATTCACCACTGCTGCATTCTCCAATTGTTCTGCAACCGATTTTGATTCAGAGCCTGAAAACCAGAGGTGGACAAAGTACACTAACTACGTACTTGAAAGTATAGATACCTTATGTAAAATATTACTACAGTAATTAAATTCCCACTCGAGTGTAAGTACAAAAGGTTTCTTTTCAACATAAAAATATACTTTACTTCTCATTTAGGAGAATGTACACATACAGTCTATTCTTCGGTTGTAAAAGGTTGCAGAATTAGCAGAGAACGATCACATACATGGTCAATCATAATTTATTCTTATGCTAAAATGTACAGCATTTTATTGACTGACAAAAGAAGAAAAAAAAAGTCATAAATACAAGAATGTCATTCTGTCCCATTTTGTGCACATAGCCAGGTATTACCCCCCTGTCTGACCAGCAACTCTGTACAGGTACAAAGGCTACAAAAGAGCAATATAAACAAAAACACAAGTACAAGTTGCGTTTTACATGCAATCCATTAGCTTAGTTTGGTCTATTCACAGGCTCTATTCTTCTACACTTCAGTAAAATATAAATCCAACATTTTATAAAGATAGAAAACAAATCTACAGATGGAATGAAAATGTAGCTTTTAAAGGCATTATGTAAAATATCAACTTTGGACTAAATTTATATTTTCTTTATTGTTATTCGTCAATAAAATCATTTAGGTTTTTTTTTTCATTCTGCCACACTTCTGGACATTTTGAAATGTTTTAGAATTGTCAGGGTACAAACACTGAGATATGCTTTGTTATTTTGACAGAAATCAGTCTGCTTTATTAAACAGAAAGCTGCCTCAAGGAGATCTGTTACAAAAGACTTCAGAATTATACATACGTAGCAATAAAACCTCTCAAACCCAACGTAAAACAGGACTAAGTTTGCTTCTTCTTTTTTTTTTTTTTTACATTATTAGAATTAACAAAATATAGTTTTATCTTTTTTCCCCCGTGAAGGGAAACCTAATAAAGGCCAGATATCTTTAAAATGGCTTGCTATTAAGCACAACACTTGTACAGTACTACTCAATGCACTGTCACTAACAGAGACTGAAGCATGCTAGTTGTCACTTTACAAAATTAGTACAATAATTTAAATATACAAAGGCATGAGTATAGTACAAACTAATTGCCAGCACTGTTAGACAGGTACACTGAACAGTTTGGAACAGCCACTAACTCCACTTGTAGCAGGCACATTAAATGGCTTCATTAGAGGCTGCTACACCACTGCGAGGAAATCTCTACGTGTGAGCTCTGAACCTGCCTGCACTAAAGACACATCAGAGACACTAACACTAATTAAATAGATTTTCATCATAATGATGTAAGGCTTCCCATCTGGAGAAACAAAAATACTTTTTAACATTAGCTTCAAAGTTCACTCGTTGTTGAAAAAAAAAGAAAAAAAAAAATCATTCTTGCATTCTTTCCAAGTGCTGCTGCTGGTTTTTTTTTTAAGTATTAAACAACGAAAAAATACATCCAAACGAAAACAGGAGAAAACAAGGCCAGATCAGTGCATTTTTTTAAAACAGCAAAATGCACGTGAGAAGAAGGAGAACAAGGAGCAGGAGCAGCTGAGTTACCGCCTGATGAAAGAGCCTTTCAGCGACTGCTTGGACATGCCTGTGTTCATGTAACCATGAGGACCAGCTGGAGTGTACACCATGTTGCCATGTGGTGGAGCCTGCATAGGCTGCTGGGGGTATGGCTGCGTTCCCATCATGCCCATCTGCATAGAGTACTGGGGTGACTGGTTCATGTAGGCATGGTTGCCATGGTAGCCACTGTTCATCATGGGCTGGCTCATGCTGTAACCGTTAATGTTCATAGAGTTGACGTTGTAGGCAGGCGCCGGCATGATGTTCACGCTCATGTTCACGCGTGGCATGGCAGGCAGTGTCCTGGACGGCGCCTGCATGGCCATGGTTTGTGGCGGTCGCGCATACATCTGCTGCTGGTGGTGGTGTGACAGAGGGGCCGACTTGGAGCGTGCTGAGATGTGATTCTTGGACGCCATTTGTGGTTGGATCCGCTGTGAGGGCGAGATGCCCATGTTGCGCTGCAGCATCATTGGCGACGGGGAGCTGAGGTTGGGGGGAGGGGTCATGGTGGCCTGCACCTGTGGGTTGGGGACTCGGTGTTGCGTCTGGGACAAGGACACTAGGCTGGAGTGTTGTGATGACAGAGTAGGGGTGTTTGCATACGAGGTGATGGGGTGTGAGGCGGAGTGGTTGAAAGGCAGTGGGTGAGGGTGGTCCATGAAAGTGTTGGTGAACTGCTGCAGTTTGGCCAGACTGAGGCCGGACGACTGTGAGTAATGGCTGCCGCCGTACTCCCCCTGGTGGTTGATCCTCTCGTAGAGGGCAAAGTTTGGGTTTCCAGACTCGGGAATGTCGGCCAGCTGCATGGTCGTGAAGTTGGCTGGCAGGGCGCACTGGGCCATGGGCTGCTGCTGGCTGTGCTGAGCGTGCTGATTGTGAAGATTATGCTGCGGATGCTGATTGTGCTGGTTAAGCTGATTGTGCTGCAGGTGGTGATTGTGGTGGTGACTGTGGTGTGTCTGTGGATTGTGTTGACTGTGCTGGCCTAGCTGATTGTGTGGACCGTGCTGATTGTGTTGGCTGTGCTGATTGTGTGGGCCATGCCTGTTGTGGGAGTTGTGTTGACTGTGTTGAACGCGTTGGCTGTGTTGACTGTGTTGACTGTGTTGACTGTGTTGACTGTGCTGACTGTGCTGGCTGTTGCTTGGGGGCCTCTCCACCACTACGCAGCCCTGCGGCGACTTGACGTTGCAGTGTGGCGGCGAGCTCAGGCTGTTCTGCTGAATCATCCCGCAGCTTGCAGGGTTGACGGCAGCCATTTGCTGACTGACTGCGCAACTGCTCTGTGTCAGGCCGCTGGGGGGGATGCTGCCGTAGGAGCAGCTGTTCTGGGAGGGACCGGACCCACAAATGCTACCCCCCATGGTGGAGTCGTAACTACTCGGGTTCTCGTAATTCTCCGTGGTGCTCTCGATGCTGCCCAGATCGCTGAAGCCACTGTCTACAACCTGCTGCGAGTGGTCCGATACTGACGGCACATCCATCATGGGACTCGTTTCCATGTTGTGGAGCGACGGTACAGAGATGGCGCTGTGGTCAGGGCTGATCTGTGTGTAGCCACTCTCAAGGAGGGAGACAGCAGGGCTGTTCACAGAGCGTACGGACTGGCTGGGATGGGACTGTGCAGAAGACATCGGGCTGCTGTGGGCAGACGGTGGGCAGTCATCTAATGACGTGAGCTGAGGGCTCTGAGCCACGTGGGCGTAGGTTTGTAGAGTCCTGCAGGGCTCCTGGCTCTCCACACAGTCTTGGAAAATGGTCTCCCGCTCTGCCTCCTGCGTCAAGGACTGAACAGCTTGGGCCGTCTCTGAGTCAATCTCTGTAGAGATTGGGGGATCCTCCCTCAGCACGGGACTGAGCTGTTGCCCTTCTGCAGTCTGAGAAGGAGGATGATCTGGGCAGGGACTGGGCATGCTCTCTTCCTCTGACTCAGAGTCAACTGCGTTGTCCGAGTCTGCAGCTGGAACTGAAGGGACTGCTACTGCTTCACATGGTGGCGTTGCTACTCTGGTGCCTTTTTCTGCCTCATCTGCAGCAGTTGCTTCTTCAATGACACTGCATGGTACTGCAGGAACCTGCTGACTCAGCTCAGAGTCGTTGTCTTCTTTGGGCTCTAAAAAAGGTGGGCTGCACTCAGCTATTTCTTTCTTCGAACTTTCTTCCAACTCTGCTTCCCTGCTCTTTACTTCTGCCTCGTTGCTTCGACTGTCATCCTCATCATCAGGTTCCTTATCTTCCATGTGAGTTTTCTGCTCAAGCTCATCATCGCTCTTCCCGTCGTTATTCTGCAAATACGCAGCTGCTTCCGTGTGTGCTGCATCTTTGGCCAGAGACTGCTGCTCGTGGTCGCTCTCCTGCTGCTCATCTTCAGGTGGTTCCGGAGAGTCTGCTCTGTCCTCAGGCCTCGGGGAAAAGATGCAAGGTGAAGCTGCAGGTGAGCAGACCCGAGAGGCTACTGGTGACACATCAGGAGAGCTGGACTTCTGGGACACATGATCAGCTGGACTTGAGGGCTCGGAGGGTAGCATGTCCTGAGTTATGTCAGGGCTAGCCACGTCCACTTTGCTGCCTTCATCGGCACTGACATCATCCCTGTGCAGGTTATCCTTTGCTTCTACTGTCTGAATGTTGTGCTGCTCTGGTTCCATGGGGGTTTCTGGAGGGGTATACAGGTTCAGCTTAAAGCCCATCTTTCTTTCATTTTTTAACCTCCATTTAGGAGGGCCACGTTTGACTCCTTTGGGCCAGCCTTTCTTACGTTTCACTGGACGAGGTCTGCCAGGTCTCTTAGACAGAAGATCAGCTCCTGCAGATTGGAAAAAACAAAATAAAAACCTAGCTTTTTGACTACAGGTACACAAGAGATTATTTTCCTTAAAAAAACTTGTATGTAGCTGTGAAGGAGCATTTATTTTTTTGTGACATTTACGATGCAAATACCTTCATTCCAGTGTACTAGATTGTCTTTCTGTGCATTCTTCTCCAGCCTCGGTCGACCCCTTCGCCTTTTCATTGGTATAATGGGCTGCTTGTCCTCTGCTTCCTCTTCGTCCTCCTCATCCTCCATCTCGCCCACTCTGCAGGTCCGCTCCAGCAGGGGCATAGGACGCTCATCGTCAGAGTTGTCAAATGGCTCGTTCAGCACCTCCGTTGTCTCCGAGATGGTTTCGGTTGTTACACTGCTGTTTATTCTCTTCCTCTTCCGCCCTCTCTTTTTGAGGACAATTGTTCTCTGAAACACAAACAAGGCAGCAGTTGGTGAAAACTCCTCAAAGCAATTCTAAACATGGAAACTAGGGCACTGGGTGGACGACCTGCATGAGGATAAAGTATAAAATGTTTTTGTGCTAAATGTAAATGGTAAAAAGGAAAAGAAAAAAAAAACCCACTAAATGTTGGTCTAAATGTTGCTGCCTAAAATGAAGCAGGCACAGTAAGCAGAATTCACAGTCTATATTTTACATGAAGCAGTTGTTTCCTACTCAATGTCTGTGAATTAACCGCTGTTCCGTACAAAATCCTTCCAGAGAAATATTTGAAATCAATGCTGTAATTAATGCAATAAATAACCCTCAGTAGCCACTGTCATTCTTCTCTGGTTTCCAAACTGGTATTCAGCTGATAAGGTCTTCTGGACATCAGGCCGCTTGTTGTAATATTGTCTCCAGCACAAGGGGGCAGTGCCATATAGACAGAACAGATGTGAGAGGCACAGAGGAGGGCAGTAAATTAACCATGACCACTGACGATAGTACAAGGTTTATCCTGCACAGTCTCGACACAAGCAGTGAAAACACAATCTATTATCTACAGCAGCAGGCACACGGGGAGGCTGCAGATGACACAAGGAAGCCACTGAACCCTCCAGTGATTTCATGAATATTTATCAAACCTTTCCATCTAACCAGAGTACACAGCATAGTACCTAATGAAAGAAAATATCTAATGATACATTCAAGTCTTCCTTGTCAGTGAATAACAGTGCAGATAACCAAAGAGATAATTCCACTGGGAAATAAAAGAGGACTTGTGGTGCAGTAGAGGTGATGTACACATCGTCAAACAAAAGTCACCTTTCGTTTTGCTGCAAGCATGGCATGGGCTTTTGTTAGGATGGGTGGAGAGCCATCAGAGCCATCCGAGTTGTCATCATCATCCTCATCATCATCAGCTTCATCATCACTCACTTCCTGTGGCTGCTGGAAGCGTCTCGACCACGAGGGCACATGTCGGCGTTCATAGGTCCTGTAGGGAACCTTACAGTGGACCTTTGTGAGAGGTGGTCTGCCCACATGACTCATCGAGTATCCCTCTCTCTCCTCCTTCTCCCAGCAACTGGCCTGCTGCTTCAGCCGCTCAGCCTGGTAATTAAACAGACAAGACGCATTATCTCTGGAAAAGGCACACGCCAGGCTCTAACATCTTAGCAACGAGGCTAATGGGAAAACAAGAGATTTGAATTAACATCATGAAAAATGAATCACTGAAGGTTTCTCATGATAATAAGAGCAGCGCACTGATTAGATGTTGGCCTGTCATGGAGGGAATGTTTCCATTAAGCAACCATGGAAAAATTGAATTTCATGGAATATTCAGCTCTATCAATTATGCAGGGAAGTGATTTAGGGCAATTTTGCACAACATTAGATGCCTGCTGACAGTGAGAATGTCTTTCCCCATTAATGCCCTATATTTAAACTCCCTAGCTAATCAAAAAAGCATTCAATAACAGCATTTCAGGCTTGTGTAACCACATAACTAGCACGGGGTAATTGTACAAGCAAACATACGTCCATCTCTGCCTCTCTCTCCTCCTCAGACAGGACAGCGTTGACACTTGTGGAGGGCGTCCAGCGCAGGGCATCAGGGTCCACTTCATTTTGCCGCGAGTTAGCTCTGAGTTTTTCCATGTGCCGCTGAATGAGTCGCTCTCTTCTGACCAGGACAATCCTAATTCAGAATTAGACAAAAAAAATTCTAATATTTACTACAAATGATCCAGGCTAGACATACAGCAGACAGAGGGCAGTATGTGTTAAATAGAAGTACATATACAATCTCTTTGGGGTGGCAGGTGCTCCGTGTCCTTGGAGGTGCTTAACCTGACTTACTTCTGTCAATATTCAGAGGCATTAATGGATACGATGTTAAAAATACCCGATGGCCTGGATAAGTCAGACAGCACAGAGAAGCGGCAGCACGGGCTGAATGAGCTGCAGCTTGGAAACTGACCTGCCATCCTGTCTGTCAATCATTCCAAGCTGCTGGAGAGTAGCGGCGATGTCGTGTGGACACATCCCAGTGGCCCTGCTTATTCCTTTAACACTGATGTGTTTATCTGGGTGCTTATAAAGGTACTCCAGTATGACACTTTTCCAATATGCCAGGTAAGATAAGCGACCCAGATCTGACAGCGGTTTCTCTGGGGAGCCGGCTTGTCCTTCTTGTCTGGTGAGAAGGTAACCTAAAAAGACACAATTGAAACGGAAAACAAAATGCTACAGTCAAGCTGGAGGCTGAGGACGAGTTATTTCAGACTTCAATCAAAGACCCTGCCATCATTATAGATTCTATATCCATGCAAGGATTTGACATTGAACGCTGTTGAAGGATTTTACCTTTAAACACTATAAATTTGCCAAGCTGCACGACAAACTGGCAACAGAGCAGGTTGACAGAGGGGAGGAAAGAGGAAACAAAACAAACCAGACAAGCAGCTGGATATCATTGTTAACGAGAGGCTGCACTGAGAGGAGATAACAAATGTAAAAAAAAAAAAAAAGTCCTAATACTAATGTGTATCAGTGTGTAATTAGTTTTATAGCAGCCTTGTCAAGGGTCATCCATTAGGAGCAGTGTTAAATTAATTAATGCCTTTTAATGTGCACCGACTACTGAACCAAACAAGCAAATCTAATCACCAAACAGTGAACACATATTATTTCAGAAATCATAACAATATTCATTACTAAAACTAAGGAGGAGAGCCTGTGATAACAAACAGCTTGTGATGAATATTCAAACAAAAAATAATTGGAGAAAAAACAATATTTTAGCTGCTGTAATTTTACAAGTGTTATTAATGATACTTAATAATTCTGAAAAAAGGAGCCACTTGAAACCCTTTGATTATCCTTTAAAAAAAGCCTTTACTTTAAAACACAAGCGTCTACTGTTTGTCTGCTTTCAAAGTGGCCGACGACAAATGTCCCTCTAATACAGTCCAATACAACAGAAAATCTTATTCTAAACAACTCCTAGCTCCAAAGCCACGTTTTCCAATAAAGCCTTCAAAGAGCTCAGAACTCAGCTGTCTTCAGCCTCCCTTAATCCCCGTCTTTGTTATCAGCAGACTCTCAATATCACAGATCCTCTCGCATCTCTGTGTCTCAATGGCTCCCAAAGTGAACAGGAAATCAAATGCTCCATTACCGCCCACCCTCCCCGCAAATGCTCCTACCTATTCTTTTCCAGAGCTCACAAACCCAGCAAAGAAACAACTCTTGACAATAATAAACTGCCTTTAATGACTAAAACTCAACACAGAAATACACTCAAGACAGCAAGTGTTTTCGTAAGTGGATGTCGCGGCTTTAAATATTAAATGTGTTGAGATTTACGGGCCTGGAGTAAAAAAGTAAAGCAGCAGCATCTATACCTCATTACATGCAGAGACAGAAAGGGTCCACTGTGTTTTGGCCAGGAAATGTTATTCAGATGTTGGTTAAGTGGCTCAAAATAATGTACACAAGCACAACGGTACGTTCATCACTCGTCATGTACTGTGATTGCCTGAGCTGCCCACATGAATGCTCTTGATTAGGCCACTTCAAAACCTTGAGTAAATAACAGCACCTTGCCCTGAGCAAGAAATTCACCCTTTAATGTCAAATTGTTTGTAAAGAGCAATGAGGAAGGGGAAAAAACCTCAGTCCAGCTGTCTGAAAAAAGCATTAAGGAACTTACTGAAATCAATAAGGAACCTTCCAAATCCTTGCCTTTGGTACTGAGGCATGATCATTATGCAGGAGACATTGTACTTCTGCTGGCAAAGCTTTTCCTGAGGGAAGGAGAAACAGATCAAGTATGTCAGAGCTCTGCTGAAGCTGGCAATTTACTGCACCTGCCATTGTCCTTGTCTATAGATGTGCACATGCACAAACACACACAAGGTGATGAGCACTCACTAAGAACTATCATGCTGCTCCAATTTACACATACACTGTGTGTGTATATTAACAAAGGGTTTTTTGTGATTGTTTGAACAATTAATTAAGATTTATTTAACGGTTAGTGAATTCAAAAGAAAGAAACCACAATTTTAACATTTGCTTTTGTGTCATGGTGTGCAGTCCAAAACCAAAGGAATCTGAGTCTAAACTGTGTTAAAGAAATTACTTAAAACCCCGTGAGTGAAAGGAAACAGTGTGTTTAACTCTGTCTAACTAATTGAATACATGACTTGTAACTAACATATTACTTTAGGGATAAAACTAAATCCTCTCCGTATCAAAATCATCATTCAAAAATTATGTGTGGTATTCGTGTATTTACCATATAATCACTGTGCATTTCATACCTTGGAGAAATAACCCACAAGATGACAGCCTTTCTCATCATTCTTTGTAAGTATGTAGAAGAGGAATGGCTCCACATCATAATACAGGGTCTTGTGATCCAGGAAAAGCTTGGCTAACAGGCAGAGGTTTTGGCAGAATAGTTTGCTGACATTTCCATCAACCTAAGCATGGAATAAAAAGAGCAAGAGGACACTCTTCAAACAGTCCCCATTTCTTCTCCTCCCCCCCCAGAACCCATTCACTGGAATCTTGTGCAGCATTCAGTTATTGCTTTATTGCTGTAAAGGGAAGCTGACCTCAAATACAGAAAGGTCGTCCTTTCTGTAGATTTCATTGGCTGGCGGGTGGAACCAGCCACACTTCTTTGTGTGTCTCTGGAGAATGTCTTTGCTTCTCATGTACTTCAGACAGAACTCGCACAGATAAAGCTTTTGTAATCTGGTGATGACAAAAGGGGAGAACTGCAGTTGTACTTTGTTGTGAAAGATTTATTTTTTTTCAACAGAAATTTTAGTATAAGAAAAAAGAAAAGAAATTAATTTATTGGAAAATAAAAATAAACATTACCTTGAATATTCTGGTGGGTAAGGTGATGAATACCAGGTTTGGATCTCATGCTTTCCAAAGTCAATAACGGCAGGACATCGCACAGAGTCTGGGTTCATTAGTGATCCCGTTCTCTGTAAATGTTTTTAATGACAGTTTCAATGACCTAGATAATTCCTTATTAGTACAGAACTATTGTTCACAAAGTTCTTACAACCAATAGCTGAGCACTGTATTTTCTTCAATGTAACTAAATTATTTTTCCCATTAACATCATGACTGCTGTTTTATCTATTTATAAGTCATTGATCTTTGATTTAAATACTGATTAAGGTTTTTACAGGATCATTGTATTATTTTCAATTTTTTTTTATCAATTTTCTAACTCCGGCAATATTTAGTCATAAAATATGAGGAAGATTTCTGTATGAAGATGAACAGAAAGGACTTTATCTAAATTATAAATCATCATAAAAAACAGTAAAACAGTAAGTCGTATTTACCTGAGCGGCGAGTCGCTGAACACACTTAAATGTCTCAATGTCCTCATCTGTGACGTGGTCTCTGGACATGGCTGCCAGCTCGGTGTGAGCCTCCTGCTTCACGGGCAGGTTCCCAGCAAGGCCTGTCAGAGTTCACAATAACACAACATCAACACATCAGCGCACAAATCTGCAACCGGCTTTGTTTAGAGCAGCCGTGGCTCAATAATCACATAAATGCATTTTATGCAAATGTGTTTGTACTGTGAGCATTGCTGCTGCTGAGTCTGTTTGAGGCCATGTCTCGGAGGAATTTCATAATGTATCATCTTTGCATGTTTATATGAAAATCCCTAATGTAATGAAGTGAAACTAAATCACTCTAATTGCGTAACCGCTTTCATGTGCTTAGTCATCCACCAAGACAGTTTCCCATGAATTAAGAAGCAGATGCAGTGAAGGGAGCAAGTGTCGACATGAAAAGCTGATGCTGGAAAGCAGGCAGTAATTTTATGAAAGACATCAACACCAAGACTTAACCGCCAAAACAAAAACCCATTACCTTTTGGCTATAATCATCATGTCAGCTCTGAGTCACCTTAGTGGTGAATCACTGGGTTGTGTGTACGTAATGACCACTGGAAGTGAGGTTGAGTGGAGACAGTGATTTCAAGGATGAGGGTGGGATGAGGAAGAGCAGTGATGTAACTACAGCCCCTACGAGGGAGTGATCACAATGCGGGAGCTACTGCACAGGGTCGAGAACAGAGCAGGGAGCAACATGAGGAAGTTAGTGGGCCATGCATGACAGAAGCCAACGAGCGAGAGGATGGAAGCCACGTGAACTCCGCAGCCAAGTCAAAACGCAACGAAACTGGGTTAAGAAACTAAAGGAAAAGATTAGTTTGTGTTAGAATGTTGAGGTTTGTCTCTGCCAAAGAAAACCTTAGATCTAGTCTAAAAAGAAAACAAAAATAAAATAATAAAAAAATTGCAAGTGTTAAGCTTTTAAAAAAGAAAGCAAAGAAGAAACTTAAAGGTGAGCAGACGCAGATCTTATCTGGGGTTTCAAGCCTTGCTTACCATCATTATTCTCAGGCTTAATTCTTCCATCTGTCAAGTCTCCCTTTCCTGGTGAAGGGGCTCCCTTCTGAGGGCTCACTTTATACCTCAGCCTGCCTAGTGTTCTGTGCTTTTTGAGGAACGGGTTACGTTTGAAACGATTCACCATCTTAAACGGGTGTCCTCTGGGTCGGCCCGGCCCTGCAGACGTGGAGTGTAACCTATTTCTAGTAAACTCGTTCTTCCCAAGGAGCTGAGGACCTGTTTTGGATGTGTGAGGAGAATCCTGCTTATGATGCATCCGCTTAGGCGGCGCATAGCAAGGTAGTCTCTTTTTCCGCGACTGGCCCTGAGTAGTATATATGTGAGAGAGTCCATCAAACAGTCCCTTTAGTTGGCTGCTACTGCAGAGACTACTCAGGGACGGAACACTAGACTGGCTGGAAGAGCTCTGGGGGGAATTAGCGGAGGTGGAGCTGCTGGACATATGCAAGGTGGGACTAAATCCTGGCAATGTGGAAGCCAGAGGAAGTGCAGAGGACGAGAGGGTTATCGTTTGACTGGGGTCAGCAGCAAAGGTAAACGGCTCTGGGGGGTTGGACAATTTTGGTATGCCCTTGTCTCTAGAGCTTAACTGTTTGGCAGGGGAATCAACCGCTACAGCTCGCGAGCGACGGCCAACAGGGGAAGGGGTGAAAAATTTGGATAGCCCATCAATAAGCCCTTTGGTTTTCTTGTTAACAGTGAGTGTAGCTGGAGTGGAGGTGGGCGTGAGGGGGAGAGTGGTGGTGGGGGTGGAAGTGGTGAATTGGGTGGCGTCGACCGCACAACAGGGGTCTGCAACAGCCAATCTGTCTCTGACGTCCTTCACAGATGCAGCATGACGAGATGAAGGTGTGGAACAGACGGTAATCTTTTGACCCCTACCAGGTGACCCCTTTCCTCCATGTGCTACCATGCAGCCGTCACCACTGGTTACAGAGCTGCAAAGACAAGAGGGACACATAACATTGTTACTGTTGAACAGTATTAAAAATTAAGCTATCAAACTGTATGAAAAGCTGTTGACCTTGAACAAACCATCGGCTGTTAAAAACATCCTAGTGCTAGTTACACAGGTACCATTATCACACAATGAAACATTTAATGATCATGCTCAACAGACGTCACTCAGAAATAATGAAGAAAATACCACCCTTTTATTATGCGTAACATATTTTGCAGTTACTAGAGCCGGACCAGTAAAGAACCTGTTTTTTGTGTGGTTCTCTTGTGTCACTAAGGTTTTAAAATCCAAGCTGTCATTGCCCTACTGCAATTTGCAAATAAGGTATCCATTCATAACACAAAGCTGCAGTGAATGGACATCATGTGAGCAGGTGAGATCATATGGTAATGTGTAATAAGTTGTAAAAAAAAAAAACAAAAAAAAAAACAAGATCATTGCCATAAAACAGTAATAAGCACAGCTTTTACTAGAGTTGATACAGTTCACTCACTTTCAGTAAACATCCCCCTGCTCCTACTTAAAAATATGAAAATCAAAAGCATCATATAATTTGATAGGGCTGAACTCAACAGGGGATTTTTTTCCAACTAAAATGACACTTTCACGCAAGCAACGTCATGTTGGGAGTTGTCTTGTCTCGCTAATGCACTGTTGCTCTTGTGCTGTTCCTTCCTTTTCAAATAACTTCCTGTATGGACTGTGGGAACGTGACACTTCCGACAACAAGGGCTACACAGAGAAAAACTGAGCATTTAAATGAAAAGGCTAGATCAGCCTGTGTGTGAACTCTGAGGTAAAATACTTTGCTTGTTTGTTTAGAAGCCAAGTAGTTTCTTTTACATTTTACTTTTACTTACATGACATATTTCAGTCTATCTTTCCAGTAGGTCCTTAAGTCCTGATTTAGAAATAACATTTTCTCGGGAGTGATGGAGACACTCCGCTCCTAAAAACACTCTTTGAAGTTGAGTGCTGCTTAAAGCAGTAAACACTAACTATTTATGCTCGCAGAGAAAGATTTGTGTATTTTTTTTGTATCTGTTTATTATTGGCTGGGTTTGTTCGAAGTGTCTGTCAAAGATAATTCCACTTTATGACAGTGTGGGTTTTATTCTTAGTAGGTTTGACCATAATGGCTCAGATTTGGAATCGAACAACAACGCTGTGCACAACAGCAGCAGGCTAAACCACAAAGTCAGCCTGTAAACTTTGATGGCTGTCTAAAGAGTATAATTTGATAATAATTTATTGTTGGACCAAGCTGAGGTTGGCTTTGAAATTTGCACTTGAGCCACATTTAACTTCTTTTCTAAAATGCTGCTGTATTTCCATTCATTCAGAAAGTGCAATTTCTACTATTTTCAACGAGACTTTTGATTTTTAACAGATTATCACACACTTACATTCTTTGACTGAGCTTATTACTGGGCCTTCTGATTGGCTTTGCATATCGACGTTTGATCTGATCGGCTTTCTGGTGCAGCAATTTCTTCTCATTCTCTTTGGGCCTGCAAACTTGGCAGATCCAGGTTCCTGGAGGAGGTCCAAACACAGAATTGCATTTGGGTGGGTTCATCAATTCAGAGGAGCACATACAGTATATTCATTTGAAACATCTCCATTATTGGCGAGAACTGGCAAGGATCCCACCAGCTTACAATGACAATCAATTACTCAGCACAAAGCAAAAATCCATAAAGAAAACATTGGGTCAATTTTCTGTCCCCAAAAATAGGCTTTTGTGTCACTTTATCATGCATAGCTATGTGCATTGTATGAATTGTCTGCCAAATGTCCTACTACAGTACGTGCGCCATCATTACAAGCTTCGCTGTGGGGTCAGCACTGTAATCCAGAGATAGCATATCTCCCTGGGGATGCTAGAATAATTTGATATGCATGCAAAGCTCTAATAAGCCACCGCTGCCTCACTGTGTGCTGAGTGACAGCCCCAAACGGCTGGGTGTGAAGAAAAGGCTTTGAATTGACAGCAGAGAACAAAACAGAGAAGCCAGACAGTGTAAACACCTCACCTTTTGGCATTCTTGAAAGCGGCGGGTCGCAACACTCCATGTGAAAGCCTCGATCACATGAATCACAGAACAACATTTCATCCTGAAATCGTAAGCAGGCATGTATTAGGTTCCGTCTCTGCTGCATACATGTAACATTTCTACTGTTATTCAGGGAGTTTGGGGAGTGGGAGGGCCAGAAGGCACAAGGGAGATTTTAAAAATGTGAGGGAAAACCATCAAATCCTCAGGGATGCACGAAATGAAATCGACCTTCACGCTCACAACAAAAAATGGTGTGCTTTAAAATGTAAACAGCTCCATACTTACAGCGTTTTTCCCCTGTATCCTACAGGAACTGCAGGTCTTGCATTCAATGCACTGCCAGCGTAATCTCTTCACATTGGATGTTAATTCAGGGGAGAACTTCAGACATGATGGATGCCCTTTAGATGCAATCAGAAATGTGATTTAGCACGACATATTTGTACTGGCACCGATTATGTCACAGGCTGGGAGACAAGGCTTTCCATTTATTCATGCGGTGAGGTTAAATATTAACATGTTACAACCTCCACAGAAACAATGGTGAGCCTTCATGTCCTCAACATTTGATTTTTCTTCTGTTTTTTACCCTTCTACAAGTTGAGTCTAAAAACAGTATGATCAAACATCTGAGCCGCTAATTACAGATAATTTGATCTTAATGAGGCAGAAACAGCAACAGCACTCATTCTAATAGATGCCGATCCATGAAGTCATGTAAAAGCTTGCCTTCTCCCTCACCCTGCTCCCTCACATGGTTGTAAAACTGCTGTTTTACAGTGAGAGCACAATTTGTGTACACTAGCAGCGGTTAATGAAAACCACCTCGACACTACTTAGTCAAATTTGAGCTATAAAAATGTCACCAGGAGAACAATTCCTTATGGCATTTAAAATAATTGTTCAAACATAAATGACTCCGTGGCAGGGGCAATTTTATGTGGGGTGAGCAGCTTTTCCTGGAACAAAAGAACAGTAAAGGAAATGCCACCAATCTGCCGCAGGAAGAGGTTTGATCTTTGATCCACTCTGCCATTTAAGTGCTATATGAAGAATCTGAAATAAATGGGAATAATTTCAGTTGCTAATGGCCACTTATGGAACATGTGTCCTGCTGAGAGCAGCAAGCGTTTCTATCGCTTTAGCTCCTCCATCTGAACAGTGGCCCTTCCAATAAGTCTCATACAGGACAGAGGAACATGTGGATTAAGACGCAAAATTTGCTTCACTAATCTTGACAGGTGCTATGTTTGCCTGATACGCTTGCAATAATTTTATATGAGGCACTTATTTTCTCAGGTCTCTAGACTGAGAAAGCACTAATGTCTGTGGTTTGGTTAGCACACGACGAATGCACACAAATCTATACAAATCTTTATTTGGAAATAATGTGTTTTGAAAAGTTTGGAGCTGGAGTTAGTAGATTGTTTTGTGAAACTATTTTCTAAAGTGATATTAAATTCCCTTTCACATTCTGAAAAACATCCATAGAAAGAAGAAGCATTTTTTTGGCTTTGCATCAATATATCAAACATGACTAATTATATAACTTCAAGCCACATTTAATAACTGACTAGTAAACTGAGCAGTCTAGTTATGTACACTGCTGCCAAGCTAAAGGAGAAAAATAATGGAGGAAAAATGGTGAAGTTACTGTAACTGGAAGAGTCAAAACAGTTACAGACAACTTCCTGTAAAGGCGTAGCTATGAGAAGAGACAGGAATGAGCCTGTTACCATTTAGCTAGATTTCATTTTGGTATTCCTCATATTTTGAACAAACCCAAGCTACCTCAATGACACTCTCATTTACAATTTCAAATTTGACCTACTAAAACATTAAAACAGTTTAAGTTATATGTGCCTGCTGGCTACTATTGCAAAACTGAAGTTCTCTCAATATGCCACGGCAATTATTCCATTATCTTGAACAGAATCAATGCCATTCTGTTATATCTTAACAAAATGCCAGCATTTTGTGGGAGAAGAAACAGTTTGCGTTCATGAGTAAATAACATCTTCAGGTTGTGAGAAAATCGAGTAAATGAAGTGAACTCACCACTGCTCCCACAGTCCGCGCAGGACAGCAGCTCTTCAGGCCGCTTGTCCCGGTTTGACTCTTTCGTTCCGAGACAAAAACTGCATATTGGGATGGGGTCAACCCGGAGCTAGGATGGGAAAAACAAACAAGGAAAAACTTGTTTTTAACAAAATAAATAAATAAATAAAGGAAAAACAGGCACAGACTGTTTGGTTTATTTTGACTTACATGAAAGGGCAGTTTTTTTTAATAAAACAACTTCCAAAACAGGAACTGGGAATCTACTCTCATGTCAGGGAGAGGAAAAAGTTCTCACATAAGGCAATGAATAATAAATGAAGATCATCCTCAAAGATGTGCTGCATTTGAGATCCAGGTCCTTTATCCATTACATCTGAGTGGGTAAGTGATCTTAGTAATCATAGTTTAAGGGCTTAATCCAATTCTTTAGGCTTGCACTCCAGTCTGAAAGGATTAACTAGCATATAATCAAATTACCTCAATAATAAAACATGCTTTCATTGTTACTGCCACGATCCACTGTAAATGTTGCAAGTCTCAAAACAAACACTCATTTAAAGGGCTTACAAAGACGAGTTCACGAGTAAAATATGAGCTCACGGTTTAAGAGGATTTCCTCATTGATCACTCAGAATGAAAAGAGGCCGACTTCACACAGGAAACTGAGACACACTTAGTGTCTTCTCTTCATACAGCTGCCACTCACTACCCAGAATTGTGACAGTGAACTCAGGCTGACACATTGTGGATTTCACAAGATGTCCCTTTCAAATATGAGATGCTGCGCACAGGCCTCTGGGGGACATTAAACGAGCTGCTGCCTCCAATGCTGCGTAACAAGAATTTTTTTAACGGAAAATAACACTCACAGGGTGCAACCATAAATAAGTAACCTCATCATCAGTTTACACACTGAGGCCTCAACAACAATCATCCTGAGCTCTGAAGGGCACTCTGGGGATGCTCATAATTAGTTCCTGGTTTCTATGACGCAGACACGCTCCTGTCCTCCAAACCTCCAAAAGTAAACATTTTTTGACCTCTTCTACCCCAGCAACAGATTTTTAAAACCCTCAAAACACTTCAACCTGTCACAACATCCAAATAAACACTCGGTAGAATTGCAGCGAGAAAACGGTGCAAATTTCGGGTCATTGTTCCCGACTGTTGTTTCAATTTGTTGTTAGGGCGACGAGGAGCGGGTCACTGCCACATCAATGACAATTCTGTTTCCCAACCTGTCAGGTCAATATTTGAAAGTGCACACAAGCACGGGGATGGGGTGGAGTTGACTGTTGCTCACAGAGATGTCATTAAAGAAATACCTCCCCCCCAAAAAAAAAACTACCACTGAATGATCAAATCTCACCCTGTGTTCTGACACCGTGGCTCAGACAATTTGTAAACACTTGGTAAACACCACCTCGGGGCACAGGAGAACTATGACATAGTAAGTCAAACCAAAGGCAATGCAAAAACGTTGCCATTACTGGGGAAGTTCTTAAAAAAGGTGAATTCTAAAGTTTTTTGCAGAATAAACAACAATTATTCGGTTCGGTTAAATAACGACCTTTTCATCACAGATGAAAAATAAACTTTACTTTCACTACAATTTGATTGTTTTAAAATTCTCTACTTTCAGAACAGAACATTAAATACAGAACACTTAAGGGAGGTACAATGGTTTCTTTCACTTTACCCACTGTAATAACAGTTTTAATGACTGTCGGGTATTTTACAGACTAAAATATAGTTTAAGATTGATAATGACGGTGATTCCTCAGTTGAACGTCTGCAGTATGATCCCCCCTTTTTATCTTGACTGCACAAAGTCTGTCACCTAGAGGCTAATCGGAGTTCAAATCACATTTGCTCTCTACAGCAACAGACAGAAATGTTGTCATTTGTCCTTGATCACAAGTCATTCTGCTTTACCACTGCTGAGAAATTCAGCCGGCGGCCTCTGCAAACAAAGCCTGCCTTGTTGTCAGTTCTTGTTTATGTACATAAAGTACATGTGCACTATTTTTTTCATTATGGAGCCTGGAAGGGCAAAGGTACACGACTAAGTAAACAAAGTTCCTTGAGTTCATTTTTTGGGTGTTTGGGGTTAAACTTGTACTGATGTTATGTGGACCAATGGATAATTTTGTAGATAAGTGTGGAGTGTAATGAATAAGACATCAGTGCTAATGTGCAGCCTGTGTTTAAAGCCTCGCAGCTGAAAGTCTTCCCTTCATAACACAGTCTCCACTGACTGAGCCATGAGGGCTTAATCCAGGAACTAGAGAATACATTTCAATCAGGAATATTCTTAGGCTCAGTGATTAACACCAATGGCAATTTGCGCAGCATTAGGAAATGTGCAAATAGAGAAACAAACACAGCTGAAGAGATGCTGATGATTTACTTGGGGAGTCTAAATTAAGTACATTACAGGAAATCACGCTGCTTCAAAAGAGCAAGCTGTCCTGAGTGAGGGGGTGGGGTCCTATTAGAACACTACTGGTAAAGAGCGAAAGAGAGAGAGAGAGAAAGAGAGCTCAAGTGGTTGCATAACACAGCAGGAAAAAAAACTCTCATTCCTTGCCTTTGTTCCTGGCAGAATCTCTTCAGAATCTAATAAACTCTAAACCAAGACTGCTCTTTTTTACCTCAAAGTGTCTCTTTTTCTCTCACACACGCTGTGCTTCGACAACTGAACGAGCAGAGATGTTTCATCCTTTTGAAGTGAATTGTGCAAGGTGATGTCATCAACCCAGGAGTGATGGATTGAAATGTTCCAAATGGAAAACAGCAGACCTTCCTGAGCTATGAGAACCGCTGCAGGACACTGTGTCTCTAAACAGTGCTCAGTTTCACTTTTGGCCTGACCACACAGTCACAGTTGTGGCAGCAGTATCAAGGTGTCATTTCCTGACTATTCAATGTGAAACTGTTGAGGAGCAAAGGTGATAGCTCCACAGCCCGATGGTGCTCATTACTGCGCCTTCAACTTCGCAGTTTACTAAGATCAGTCTCAAGGCACAAAAAAAAAAACACCTTCAAAACAAACTATCGAGATGACTGTGTACAGCACTTTAAGGCCACAGGATGAGAACTATTTTCCATGACACCCTCTCCAGTGTCTTTACCAGTGATGTCCTTTTTGGCTGTAAAAATAAGTAAAATAACAATGAAAATGTACACATAGTTATCTGGGAGGTGCACTGCAGCTAAGCATGAATAATAGAGACACATCGGTGTAAACTATAAATCAAATCCTGCAGTGATAAAGCAGTAGAAGCAGTGCAACCTGGAAGTTTGTTTATACAGTTTTATTTCCTCTCTGGGGTATCTCTGTTAGCACAAAGGTCATAAGAGCTGCATGCAGTCTGAGGCCAATATCTTACGCTCCAACACATACTTCAGGTCCCACGTCTACCACCACTGTTTTTTAACTCTAACTTACGCTAAACCCCTTCACAAATTACCACAAAAATATACCAATCCTCCTCACTAATGCTTTACAACTCACAAGACAGCCAGCCACATCCCTTAAGGTCATTAGGCTAGAGTTACATAACCTCTGGGAAGCCTACAGCAGACTGCCTGCCACACACTGTCAGCATGACTTTCTGATTATCCAAGCTCTCTTATTATGGAGACCATCAGAAACACAGTCCCGAGGAGACACGCTCTACATGGTGTTGATTCTAATGCACAAAGCAAGAGTCCAAAAGATTAGAACCACAGTTGTCCCATCAATAAAATCCATCTCCCTGGTGGTCCTAACTTTTACCCCTTCCGCTTGGCACAGCTATCACAGAATGATCATTGTACAAAACATTCCAAATAGTTGTAAAAAAAAAAAAACAGCTTTAGTGTTTGCTAATTGTGTGTTAACAGCAGCTTAATAAACAACATAACACTATACACATACTCTACCACATCTTAAAGCCATCATAGATTCCATTTATAGAAGCAATTCTAATGGTGCTGTTATTAAGTATTTCAAAAATAGCAGCATTAGACACAGTAAAGGTCATGGAAATTATTACGATAGGAGGACATGACAATACATAGGCCAGGGTGTGTATACCTGGTCTCGCTCATGGGGGAGGAGTGTTACTGATGACAGGAGCAAGGGGCGAGTACTTGGACACCTGGCTCCCCTTCCTTCCACGCTGCCATGGCTGAGAGTATACCGCGGGCCATTTTTTAACAACCTGCCGTTGTTAACAGACCTCTTGGCAGCCAGACGTAACCTCTGGCGAAAAGCAGGGTTATCAACAATGTTTGAGAGGTCATCCTGATTCCTCAGATAGCTCTCGATGTTTTTTAGCGAAGAGCCATGGGTATCATCCAGGCCCTCAATGGCCCTGTTAAGTATTTTATTCCAATCAATGTGGCGTAGGTCACTTGAATTCCATATAGATTCCTTTGATGGCACAGATGTATTTGCAGGCGGGATTGATCCAACTCTTCCAGGATTTCCTGGGTCCTTGTAAGAGGCGCTCCCTTTATTTGTAACCTTGAGAATAGAGCCATCATGAACACTTAATTCCAACTGCTCAAGGACGGTCTTCTTGTCCAGTCCGTGCGATGTAGCCACCGCATGACAAATCCTCTCCTCTGAGGGCCTCTGCTTTTGCCTTTTGATTTTCTGTATTGCTTCCAGAATCCACTCAGTGTACAGAGGGTTTGCAAGTTTTACCATGATTGAACAATTAGACACACAAAAATGTGATCCATACAGATTCCCCTTTTTTGCTGCAGAACACTTGGTACATCCACATCCTCAACCAGGTTAAAAAGTTACAATCCCACGCCAGCATCCAAACATTTCTTCTTAATCCTGGGTGTCTGACATTTGAGTTGAGGAAAAGTTGGCACTAGTTAATTCCACAAATGTTAACGGCTGGCTTGGATCTTCATTTGTTTAATCCCAGCATAAACCTAAAAAGAAAAAGAATTTATTAGTCAAGGCATTGTTAGAGGTTAACTCTCTTGTAATTATAAGTCACTATCTGTAATGTAGAGATATATAATGCTGGCTATAAAGCTTGAGGCAATGGAATGCAGGACTTTTAAGATGCACTCCAACATGAGAAACAGATGGATAAAAACAGATGCAGGAGCTGTCATGGCTGATAAAGAAATTAAACGTAATCCGTTGCCTGACAGTCTAATCCACACACCAAACCAGATGTCGTTTTTTTTTCTAAAATAAATATTTTTGTTTCCATAGTGTGATAACTAACTGCAAAACTTCTACAGAGTTCTAGAAAACTATTAATAGTCTACACTCGGATACGTATTTTCAGTTTCACATACCATAAAGTTAACATTCATTCTAGTACGCACTTTCTAAAAATGGCACGAAACATGTTTAGTCTAACAGAGTAAAAAAGTAAAATGTAAATATAAATTATACATATGTTGGGTTTAAGCCGTTAGTTCCGCACACGCGACTTCTGACAGCTCGAAGCTCCGCTGCGACACAGCCACCAGCTTTGAGCTTTAATGACAGCTGTAAATAATCGATGCTCACTTTCCTGACAGCTGCCGCTGTTTAAACGCCTTTACTGGCTCGTCTGCAAAGCACCACCGAGCCTTTCGCCGACGGAACAAGGCGGTAATAACTGCGCAACAAACCCAGAGTTGGAGCTTCACCGCCGACTTGAGCAGATAAGTGACAGTGCTGCCAGCGTTACTGATGTCACCTAAACAGTCGCCATTTTGTTACAATGTTGTAGTTTACATGAATCCGACATGACGCTGATTACAATCCAATGGAGTCTCATTAAACCTTACCTACACTAATGTGCCCTCCCCAGCAACTTCAATATTGGCTGCAAAGACAAGATCCGATTTCTGGTTTGATAAAGCACATGTCAATCTTTATGTATGAGCTCACTCTAAAAGGCACACCACTGGCTGTATGATCTGTCACTTCACTCTGTTGACCCGCCCCTTAAGGTGCCTTCACTGACCGCTTTATATCATTCACCTCCAACGCGCAATAAATCGGAACTTACAGTTTCAACTGCATCGACTGGCGTTTATTAACTTATAAATACACAATAACGAGCACAAACAGGTCGAGTGGTGGTTAAATAAGGCAAATATTTGACCTAATTTGCGAAGCGCTTACCACCAGCCCACCTTTACTCAGATCCCCCCCTTGAAACAGTTGGTTACACTTGAAAGTGATTTGGATCATTTTAGACTTTAATTGGCTGTTTGTTAAATCCATCATCTGTTTGCACACAACCTGCTAAGGCGCTAGCGTTACTCTAAAGTGGAAAACATTATTTAAAAACGACATACTAATGTATAAATGCTAGGTTGCATATATCCAAGTCTCCTCCGGGGTGAATGTGTCTAAAGCTCTCGCCTTTCCTCATCTTTATCTCCCTCCCTCTTCATTATTTCTCCGAGAGGAGCCGTAATTCTCCCGACGCGTAACATTTAAACTGTTAGGCGTTAAATTGACGCCGATAAATAAATGATCCGTCAAGGTTCCCAAAACACAGGCAATAAAAAGTAGATTTTCCTCCTCGATACAGAGAAATTATTAACGTCTTGTGCTGCGCTGTGCAATGATGGCATGACCTCTTTATCACCATTAACTATCACATATCTCCGATGAGGAAAAAGAGTGAGCCCTGCAGGGAAAAGACATGTTCAGGGGGGAATACAAGTTAACAAGAGAGGCTCCTTCATCGTTGCCTTTCTATTCTGTGTCGCTAGTTTCTCCTGAGCCGCCGTTTCTCAGCTTCACCTCGGCTGTTTTCCATATTATATTAGGAAAAACGATCCACAGCCCCTGTAGATTTTCACACCGTTCCGCTTAAACACACAAACCGGCACGTCTACGAAAAGGACTTAACCAACGCTGTTAGCGAGGACACAGGGCAGATTAAACGCCAAGTTTTCATGCAACGATAAAGACATAACAAGTATGGACGGGGGGAACGGATAGCGTAAATATTTGCTCGTAGTTTACCTCTTCAAGTTTGTCCCCCTCTTTCGGAAAGACTCCTTATCTGCTTCTTATCGCCGACACGTCGATGGATAAACACGCGGCGACATATCCGAGCGCTTTCTCCGGGATTTGATGTCTGTTTGGAAGCAAAGCTTGCGCCGAGACATGGAGAGAGGAGCTGATAACAACTAATTGAAAGGTTAATCTACATAGCAGCCTGTGACAAAGTGGAACCCTCCCCCTTCTTCTTCTTCTTCTTCCACTGGAGACATCCCTACTTCAGTGGAGTGGAGCGGAGCGTCGCCCCTTTTAGTTCCTTCCTACAATGATATTGTCAATTTTACTTTCCCCCCTCCATCAACATGTCCAGTGATGACACACAGAGAAAGAATTCTTTCCTCCTTTACTCCATGTTTATTGGCGCTTCAATCTCTGCCTCTCTGCGGGCTGCATTTTATTTTACACGTCTCTGTGTCATAACACTGTCATTACAATGAATCCCCTTTGGACAGTTTTAGAGTCCATCAGTGTGCAGAACATTCTAGAACATTATGTGACTGCGTTTGACACAAAACCACAAATACACACATTTATTTTAGAATCAGCTAGACTGTTTCCTCGAACTGGATAGTGTTCACTTTGACAGGGGCGGATCTAGACTGCTTCGAATTGGGAGTAAATCTGGGGTGGGTGCTCATCACTTTTCAAATCACAGCTGTTTGGTTTGCTGTGAACGTCCCAAACTAGAATTTATTGGATAGCTTGTTTGTTTGGGCAGGTGTAAAAATTTTATTCAGACCAAAAAAAAAAGTTCCTCACAAGTGATCCTGTTCAGTTTACATACAGATTGAAATGCAAGAAATCAACGTGCTGAAACTAACAAGAGGAAGTGAAGTAAAAAGAGGAAGTGACTTATTGGTGAGAAAAGAAGAAAACAAAACAATAACAATGTTGCTAATCTTGCGTGATAGTGCTAGGTGTGAAACTAGCTCAAGGTGTTGACTGACGGGAATAACAGAAGAATGGGTTCCGCTTCACGTGTGTCCCTCGCCTGGATTTAACCAGGCCGGAGAAAAACCTCCCAAAACAACATTTAAAACGTCTTCACAGAGGATATACAGCAAAGGATAACATTTGCATGTCAAGTTCTTATCACTCTACCACGGATTAGATGATATTGTATTCTCTCCCAATCTGGCATTACTAAAGATTATATAGGCTAAAGCGGGATCTCCTCATATCCTGTAGTATAGTGCGGTGGGTGGAGCATTCTAAAAACCTGGCTACGCCCAGTGATGAAGCAGCAGTAAAAGCTTCTACATGCTGCCTTTATTTTACACGTCTGTGTCATAATGCTGTCTTTACCATAAATCCCCTATGGACATTTCTGAAGTCCATTGATGTGCAGCAGATATAAGCTTTTGACATACACCCGCAAGTCAACACTTTTATTTCCAAATGAGTAATTTCCTTGTACACCCAAAGCAGTATCTGTATCTATATCCGGGATACCCTACACTAAAACAATCTGATTTGTTAATTAACTCCACTAGGCCCCGAAAAAAAAGCTGTAGTTGTTAGCATTAATGTAGATCATTAAATTTTTACTCTATAGATTTTGGCTGGCTCACTTACACACTCTTTAGCGGTGTTAGAAATGCCAGAACGCTCATTTTTCATGCGGTAATGCAGATGTAATTAGAGAGATAATTGTGACTTCCCACCTGATTATGCACACACACTGACTCTTCTGTACACCACTTTTAAATGGGGATCTGAAAGGAAAACATTTAGCTAGGTTTGAAAATGCCTTTCAAAGAGTAATTTGATTAGTCACTGTTTTTCTTCACATCTATTGGACTTGTAATTTCCACCATTATGCTGCAACTTCATCAGATGAACCGCTTATTACCTTGGTCACATTGTTCACGTTTTCAATTTAGCTGCCTGGCCCATCTACACTACTTCAGTTTATTCACTCTCTTCCTGCCAGTCAGTCCTTGACATTTACTATTAATCTACTTACTGGCACTTTGTGATAAAAATGCAAATAATGGGTTATTTTACTGCAGTCGACATAGGGAAAAGAAACCCACAGGATTTAGATGGGAAATGAACGACTGGTGTTGTTGGGAGGCGCTGACCAAACCTGCCTGTGTCTGGCTATAATGAATGCCACCCTGGGCCCCAGCAGGTCCTCCACTGCTGCATGGGTCCAGGGACAATTTGAATTGAAGCATGTGCCATTGCAATCTGCCCATCCCCCCTCTCATTCCCTGCCAACTGCCACACTGGTGTTCACAAACATTGCTGCCCATCTGCGGGGCAAAACACCCGCCAGGGCCCCACATACTTAAAGCTTTGGTTGCATTCGGGAAAATATATTGTTGTCATGAACTCCCTTTTGTGTGGAACTACCACCAAGTCACCTTTTTATTAACCTAACATTAAAACGTTTTGTAGTGTGTTAAACTGACTGGGGCCTTACAATAAAACCGATGTTAAACAGTCTAAAAATGCCTGCAACCAATTAGCTGACAAAACACAAAGCGGCATTGTGAAATGTAAATGAAGCCACATAAAAAAATAATGTAAAGGTTACCCAGAAAAAGTGAGAAAAGTATGTGCAGTAGCTTCCCTATTGTGGCAGGCAGTCTCATTACTTAATCATGGCTCCCTCTTTTTGTGTTTGTGTTTTGCCATCTGTCATCTTGAGAAGCAAATGAACCAGCTGCCATGGAGTGTGATCTTGCCCAATCAGAAATGTGGTCTTTTTCAAAGCACATCTGTGTGAAACCTTAAAAACGCTGATGAAAAAAAAAATGTCCCAAAGTTGTTAGAAACAATTTGGCTAAATAATGTTGTTATCTAGATGCCTCCCCGCCACAAATTAGCATAAATGCATAAAGTTTGCCTTGCTAGGAGAAAAAGTTGTTGCACAGACTGAATAAAAGCTGTTCTTCTGCTAATGTGCTCTGAGGGAATAAAAGGAAATGTGATGTAACAGGTTGTTTCAGGGGATCAAAAACAACGTTGCTCCAAATCTCACTTCTCTGTGGAGTGTTGAATTGTTTGCCACACAAAACATCAGATGCTGCCCAACACTTCTGCTGGCCCCGACGGTGGGAGGGGCGGGCCCCTCCTCTGATCCTGGTCTCCAACCCCCAGCGACAGCACAGCTGGGCATGAGGGATCAGCCTAATTTTTGGGTCCCTCTAATGAAGGCCGTGAAGAGCAAAGCACTAATCCAGGACCTGAGGAAAAATGATCTTGTGTAACCCCGCGGTGCACCTCCAGACCCCGAGAGTCCAGTTAGAACCGAGCAGGCAGTAGCAGAGGGCGACTGAGCAGAGCCATCACACCAGGCGGGTTCTGCCCTCATGCCCCACCCCCAGTCCTGCCTCATCCATGATCTCCATAATGGGGGTTGTTGAGCTGTCCAAAAGTGATTAGCATGAGGTGCCTCCGGCTGATTTAATAATGAGAAATACACAAACATGTGTTGTAACATCGTTCTGCATTTTGAAGGTCAGTTTTTTTTTTCGTTCTGCATTTTGAAGGTCAGTTTTTTAAAAAAAATGATTAATAAAAATAATTATTCTTGATGATTGTGTCACTGTAATTCTGGGTTTTATAATGCTTTATTTCTCACAAAAAAAAAAACCAAAAAAAAAAACCAAAAAACCAAAAAACATACAAATTGGTTCCAGGTCGTTCCTGTTAAGACTCACTTTTGGGAATTTGTAACCCTCCTATGCACCTTGCATCATTTTTACAGAACATTAAAGGAATATTCAGCTAAATTATATTTTTAAGAAACCTTCACAGTATCCCGACACCTCCCCGTAGGATTAAAACAGGGAATGATGAAGATAATCAGGGTACTGTTTATCAGATACAGGTCGTGTGTATGAGTTTACGATGTCTGTGTGTGCGTGAAAGTTTGGAAATAGGGGCAACTTCAGAACCTACTCAACGTCTCACAGATTTAAATAGGAAATGAAATTATAACTGTTGAGCCTAAACAATAATAAATGAGGAAAAATGTCAAAACAGTATGAAGAAAGTATATGGATCTAATTTTGTGGAGTTTTTCAGTGAAATGCTCCTTTAAACTTGACCATATGCTTTACTTTCCGTGTTATTTGTATTGTATCAAAAGGTGTAAGCTGCCTAAAGCAGCTTTAAGTCACAGCATATAGTCCTTTGTAATGACTGAAAATGGGAAGAAATACGGGAACTTCATGAGAATAGAACGAATCCAAAGGTCTGAATGCAAAGATAAATGACTAGAGCTGACTAGTGTCAGTGATACTCTGGCCTCTCTGGGAAAGTGCAGCCAACCCGCTGGATGATGACGTTAGCAGCATAGTGTCCGGCTCGGATACACTCCTCCAGTACTTGGTCTTGGACCAGCGCGGAGAGGAATCCTGGGTAGACAAAAGAGCAGAGGCCAACCTGTTACCATTCATCACTTCCTAAATAGTTCAGGGAGCGGTTAGTGCTAATAAGAGCCAGATACTAATGACTTGAGGAAAAAGGAACGCTGCACTTTCATCTTTAACAGGACGGGACGATGACTGCTTTACGATCAGCTTGCACAGGGTAAAAACAGCAGGTTCACATAATCTGGAGACATTACTTTGCTACATGCTCGGGCAGTATCAAAGGTTAATTGGGAATGTACACAGAAGTCGTGCTGTGAGGAGGATCATTTTCAAGCCTTACCTCCCACGAAGGCGTCCCCTGCTCCATTAGTGTCCACAATATCATTCTGGTCGATGTCCAACACAGGGAACATAGTTACCTTCTCACCTGTGGCCGGGGCATATAAAACATGTTAATTTGAAGTCAGTGCTTGGTTCTCAAGTCGTTTAAAAAGAAGAAGAAAAAAGTTTCGGCTTGTTATCACTTTGGACTGAAACTTGTTACATGACGAGTCACAGGTCATTTTACACACTGAGGCACGGAGCTGTCAGGGATAATTGGTTATTTGATTTAACACTCCAGCATACAAACATTTTCTGGCTAATAGCATGTAGAAAAAAGAAGTATATTTTCCAGACCATGTGGGTAATGCTATTTACTGTTGTACAAATGAAGATTTCAGAAGCTCATTAAGGAGATGGTTAGTTGGAAACTTCTTTTAGGAGCATTTTGGTCAATACGTCTGAGCATTTGCATTAGCTTTATGGGCTGCCATGTCCTTTAAATACTACAGTGTATTGGCGATTTCAACAAAAAAGTAAACAAAAAGTGTACATTATGTGAAAAAAAAAATATTATGATGATAAAAACAAAGTTTAGAAGCAAATATTGCCAAAGCAGCAAGACGTTGTAACAAAATGAGTCTCACCTCCGAGTCACGATGATATCTGTAGCAGGGTTATTGACTTAAGGTCTGTTTACCGGTCATAAGCTCCTACAGCTTAAAAGTATGTTTCTGTTCAACTACATCTGTATTCACTTCCCAAAGATTAAAAACAGAGAAACACATAAAATTAAAGTATTTGAAAATCATGTAAAAAGTGCGTGTTTTTTCTTTTTTATAAATACATTTGACTATTGTTTCAGCACAAATGAGTTAGAATGTACCGTTCTGTAAACAAAGCCAGTGCGGTGTTGTGCACTGGCTTCATATCAACGTGCCACAGCTAACTGATGATCAGATAGAGAAATTAATAACGTCTCAAAAGCCCGGGCTGAGATGTTATTAATGCCACAGATGAAGCTCGGATAAATTAAAAACAATACGAGAGCAGTTACTGTGAATCATTGCAGTTCAGAATGGAATCCATTAAATGCCCGACTCTTATTATCTCCAGTAGACTGTACTGCTTCAATTATCAGTAGCATATGCACTTCAAAGGGATTTGGAGTTGTAAAAGAGAGGAAGGGAAAAGAAGAAACAAAAATCTACCAGATGACAAAGTCGAGAGGTGTAGAGTGACATTAAATCAGCAACTTATGTCAGAACAATCCAAAGCACACATGCAATCTTCAAACACGCCACGGCTCTGGTGCCTCCGAGAACCTTCAAAAAGGTGCAGGAGACAAAAGATTGACACGTGGATAAAAGGAACGCTGGGAGGCTGACAGACCTCCTGATGGCAAACAAAGTTGGGAGTTCAAGCAAACGTTTGGGAATGAATATAAAAGAGAAGTTGTCTAATGAGGCTCCATGCTAATCTGACAGTGGCTCTCACACACACACACACACACACACACACACACAAACACCTCAGACTATTTACTTTTGAATACACTTATGTCCTTGGCCCCCGGGGCACCGCGCACGACCTGCAGCTGTGCATATGTGAAACACCTGATGTCTGGGAAATTACTGTGACACAGCGACAGTGAGAGAAACCACATAGGGCTATGGTTAAACTACGACATCCGACAGAGTACAGCTACGTGTTGCAAGTCATGTAACTGCTGTTGATTAGATAAATAGATGAGTCGAATAATGTTTTCATAACCACACAGCTTCCCTTTAAAGCAAACACGGCGATTGTCACTTTGATAATCAGTTACAATAAGACACGACTCCTTTAGGATCAGCTAATTAGTAGCATAACGAATTTGCTTAATTAATGCCACAGATGAAGCTGGAAAGTCCTCTTGCCCCCCCCTTCCCTCCCTGCCTCCTCCTCCACTCTCTCCGAGTGATTTACTGCACACGAAAAACGTGCTAATAATAAATTCTACTTTGTCAGTTATTACACTGTAAAGAAGCACACGGTATCAAATGTGGACATAATTACACTACACACTCTGTGGCGACAAGAAACGGATACTGCGAAGCCCCCAAACTACTGCGTTCGTTCACTTCTGCTATTTATTAGGCCGTGTCAATCAAATCAAAATAATGGGTTAATGCGGGGGGGAGAAAAAAAAAGTGCAGCGGCTACAGCAAATGGTTGTGCTCTCCTGCGGGGACAGAAAAGAAAGCAGTTACATGAAGTCATTCTCATATGCAAAAGCATTACATTTAATGACTTGTGAATTGCCAACAAAACCACTTTTTATTGAAGCCGCAGTACGAAAAGCTAAGATATGCGAAAGTCAGTAAAAACGTACGAGGGTCAATGAAAAGAAAATTGTGCAGTAATGGAATAAATTGTTAAATATAACTCTGTAGTCAGCACCAGAGTCCAAATCTGGATGTTTACTGCAGTAGTATGTGTAGATTTCAATCCCAGTTACCGGAGGGTACACCTGAATCACTGTCCCTTCATGATGGCTCCCTGCATAAGTCAGACTCTGCGGGTGTTTTTATGTGCTACATTATGATGTTAGCACTGCGTTAGCGTAGGTGAGAGACAGGTACTTATGTACAGTACGAGTTGGCCAAGGACCCACTTATAATTCTGATAAGCAGTTTATATAAACAATTAATCCTTCATATGTCTAGGTTTGACTATTTTTCCCGCTGCAACCAAGGCTTCAGAACAGCAGAGTGGAAAGGTGACCGTCATGGTGGTTCTTAGGGTACTCCACATATTTTACCAAGTCTAAAGAGACTGTGTGAAATGTGTGAACATACTGCATGAATTTGAATTCATTCACCCTCTCAACATTCCTGCCTGATCAGTTCACTGTGTGCTGCATGACACCGCTCATGGCACTTGCAGGAACTTTCTGCCTCTTCTGGTAACATGGCACAGCAGACGCTCCACGTCTCTCTCTTGCTTCTATTATCACATTCAAAGTTTGTTCTCTGCTTCTGGGGGGAATGTTCGCACAACCTCAGAGATGCAAATGATTGGATTTGACTGACGTTACAGTCCAACAACTTTCCAGCCACGTGTGACAAAAATCTCGCTGGTGACAATCTGTCACAGAAATAGTTTGAAAATAATATCAATAGCCACGAAGGAAATCCGAGCGAAACACTTCACTATAATGACAGCATTTGCTCAAATCTTATTTGTATTTCAATTACTTTAATTAAACAAAGCTTTGCTTTTCTTTCATAATATGTTATTATATCTTGATTTTAAAAAAAAGTTTGATAAACGGAGGATGTGAGACGCGGCTGTGCTTTAGCATGTAATCTGTAACAGAGAAAAAAAAGAGAAACAGAAAGGGATTAAAACACTCATTTGCAGTATTCCATTATTGTGTGCCTTTGTTAATTTGCTCTTCATAATTCCCTAATTAAACTCTTTAACGCTGGTGATTAAACTTAAAAATATTCTTTCAACAGGCCTCCCTTTGAAATGACTATCAATTAAGTCCTTTATTAATGACTATTCTCTTTGAACAATGCCAATTCACAGCAGCGAGCGGAGCGAGAAAAAAAAGCGCTCTAGTGTCAAAAAAAGAGAGAGAAAAATGTGAACATGCAAATGGGATGACCTTGGTTTTTATTGGAAAACGAGCATAGGCAGTGTTGTTCTGACTGTGGAATTAGAACATGCCTCACTCGGTGGTGATTCATTAATGGGGCTTTGACAGAAACAGGTGGATCAAATAGTCATTAAAAGGCAAGTCATTCAAATTAACTTTGATCTCGTCTCACTTCATCATCATCAACACATGCAAAAACAATTAAAACGTCACATTAAAACCCCAACAACAAAGTGGCTAGTTAGCGGCATTTTCCGCTGAGGGGCCCGAGCTGAAGTGCTCGACGTGAGTTTAAGTACGACATCGTTATGTGAGAAGCTTGCCTGAGAATACTTCTTCTGGAATGTTTCCTGCTGCGTTGCTGCCAAACCCCGAGCCTCGCGGAGGAAAATGTTACCGCGTTCTTGGCAAACCGTGCAGTTTAGCAGCGAGTTGACATTCTATCCATTTCCCTATCATAACCAGCATCTTCCTTCACATTTGTGCATGAAAAAAAATACATATGCCTGTAATTACTGTAACCACAGGCAAAAGATCATCGCCAACCAATTTCCTTGCAGAGAGACATAAAAGCAAACACTTCAACATGAGTTGCCAAAGGAAAAAGAGGCGGTTCTTCTCATCATGGACTCTGCTAATTGACTTTGTCTATTGTGAGACACGGAGCACAAAAATCACGCTGTTCAAAAATGATTCTGCAACGTAACATAACTGGTTATGATGGTTTTACCAAGATGTGACAAAGAGAAGTTTGTTGCATTTGTAGTAGAGCTGTGGAAACGTATGCATTAAATTAATTATTTTTTGTAAAGATGAATGCAATTTTGATTGGCATATACTGTAATTCAAGTGTCCAATCACTCATTGTTCTAATATGGTGGTGCCCTATAGGTAGATCCTGATCTAGGAGTAGATCACAAAGGGAGTTCTGGTTGGTCATTGGCTAAAAAGGTAATGTATTGTCAAATTAAATAACATGATTAATCATGAACATTTACCTACATGTGATTAATCATTAGATAAGCACATTTTACAGTTCATTATTAAAACTAATAAAATACATTTTCAGCAAGTTCCATTGACTCTTTCTTGATATCCATTAGCATAAATGAAGCTGAACTGTTTTCCTGCCTATTTGGAAGAGCTGATATCTGGTCCAATCAGTCTGAGTGGCGGTGAAGCTGTTTTGATACTGCAGGCCGGAGTCAATTTTCTACTCCGCTGTATGTGACTTCACTATGGTCTATTACCAAACCAAAGGTAGAGTACAGAGCCTATGTACTCACACAACAAAGATACTGTATAGCTTTAAAGTGGTTGAAGTAAAGGTCAGGACTCCACGTCAGTCTGGAGGAGTCAGGGTTCATGTCATGTAGAGCAAAGAGACTTCACTCCTGTTGATTTTCAGTGAAAAACGAGGGCAGCTGAGATTTAGCGTGTGCTCTTTGTCAGAGCAGAAGATCTGGAGCAGGACATTGTGTGCATTGTGTTACTGTCCAGCAGTGGAGTTTCTGTCATTTTCCCTGAAATAACAGGAGCGACACACAACGTCATGGACACGGGTGGCTGCAACTTTTCATCCCAGAGCTTACATGGATGAGTGTTAAGAACAAGTCGTTGTCATTGTAGGAGTCCATAACTGGGTCGCTCCCAAGTTACGTCAGCCTGTGGCCATCGGGGATTCCCTCCCCGCCCACACCCTGAAGGAACGTGCCAAGTCAGCTGACTGCATGTAACATGAAGTACATGGAACATGCTTCTACCTGCCATTCAAAATAACTGGCTCAACGTCAACGCACTGACACGAGCAGAGTTTTTGCATTTCTCAGCTTGTTTGACGGACAACGGAAACATTTGTGTCGTTTCTAGGCTTTCAAGAGAAAAGCTCAGACGAGGCCACAGTGCTTATACTCGGCTAACATGTGGGCTGGACGTTGAGGTCAGCGATTCTGATGCAGACATTGATTAACGTCTCGAGAGGTCTCAGATCCAAATCTGTGAAATCACGTGATCCCTTTCTAATTTTCCACAGGAAGTGGAAGAGCGCCGCATTTTTGGACAAAACAA